TGTCAGAACACCCTGAATCACCGAATAGTCAGATTGTATTTCTTACAGATGCCAAATCAGTCCTGCAATCCCTACAAAATCCGGAGTCCTATATTCAAACACTCATGACAGCACTAGAGAGGCTAAAAAATACCTGCAGCAGAATTGTGCTGCAGTGGATCCCGGGCCACTGCCAGATCCAGGGTAACGAGATCGCAGACCAGCTGGCAAAAATTGGGGGAAAGAAACCACAACCGGAAATTTCGCTACACCCAAAAGAAATAAAAAGAATAATTAAACACAAACAAACGCAAATGTGGTCTGTCACACACCCTCACTACATTAAAGACGACGGCTATTACAATTTAACACGAAAACAACAATACATAATCTTTCGACTTAGAACAGGCCACAACAGACTAAATCAACACATGCACAAAAAACTGAAGGTTGGGTGTAGCGAAATGTGCCCTTGTGGCAAGGCCCCGGAAAACACGGAGCACGTACTCCAGGATTGTACTCTGTATAGCCAGGCAAGAGGCAGACACTGGCCCCAGCCCACCCCACTCAGGGAAAAATTATATGGGACACCTGACAAACTGGAAACCACAGTCTGGTTTGTCCATGAAGTTGGACTTGTTGTCTAATTCCTCCACCATATTCAAAAATTAAGAACGAAGAAGAAGAAGAAGATAAAGAAAATATTCCTACATCCAACTGTATTATTAACAGATTAAAGATACACATCATTACTATTACGTCTGCAGCGATTAAAGCTGTTACACATATATGTACGCGTATGTGGCATATATTTAAATTATAGGCCTATGTATGTATATATATATATATATATATATATATATATATATATATATATATATATATATATATATATATATATATATATATATATATATACATGGGGTCATCCATAAAAGACGTCACGCTTTTTTTACGATTTTTACCTCCCCCCCTCCCCTCCGTCACACGTTGTCACAAAAAGCCAGACCCCCTCCTATAATAACATCACACCTCAGCCTGCAACCCCCCCCCCCCTCAAAATTGCTGTTGAATATTTCTTAAAACGTCTATATTTTCCAAAATCTTGTCAGATCTCTGTCAACATAGAGTATTTTGATCAATTCATATTACAATTTATTAAAACAGTTTTCTAAAACGCGAAATAACGGCTAAAACTCGTTTTCTAACATTGCTTTTTTAAAATGCAAAAAAAGTGACGTCACACCATCTGAATTCCCTCCCCCGTCCCCCTCATCATACACCGTCAAAAAATTACGGACCCCCCCTACAATTGTGACGTCATTTATGGACGACCCTTATATATATATATATATATATATACACATATATATATATATATATATATATATATATATATATATATATATATATATATATATATATATATATATATATATATATATATATATATATATATATATACATATATACTTAGTTGGGTTTTTTTTTTGGGGGGGGGGGGGTCACACCACGAAGTGCCGCACTTGGTGACACCCGACATAGCGACGCCACTGTCATAACAAAACAACTAATGAAAGAGAATAACATCGTATTGTCCTCCAGGCTACATTTTATAAACAAAAAAAAACAAAAAACAGTTTGTTCGTTAAACAGGTATATAACGTTTAATTAAAGATTTTAAAAACCACAATAAAAAACACGGACATGCGATTCTTTTGTAATGTTTCTAGCGGTCACATATCGTTATCAACGTTGCGTTTTTCAAGAATTGGCTTCAACTTTATTAAATGAGAGCAATGGCAATGTAAACTTGGGTAAAATTAGTGACCCGTATCGAGAAGCACGGCACGGCATTGCTGGAGATTAGGCCTATATTATATATTGCGATAGTTTACACTACACTTAACCTATTAAAATGTAAGCAGCGGTAGGCTATATCTTTAAATAGTAACAGCCGTGTTTCTAGTTGTAGGCCTACTGTTTTTAATACACGCCTAAAATAACGTGTTTAAAATTACCGAAATGTTTTGATTAAAATAATTATACAACAAATGTCATTTTTTTCTTTGCAATATTATTAACTTATGGGAAAAGCGTGGTCGAATGCTGACGACTGCTAATCCGAAAGTCTCGAGTTTAGATGCCGGACTCAAGCCTGTCGGGCGTCCCTGGGCCCACTATTGTAAGAAAAACCAAGGTGGCTGGGCATAGGGCTGACCATATTATCCCCTAGTATGTCGAGATCATTAGAACAGATGAAGGGAGGTGGGGTGGAGGGGGGAGGGATTAGTCAAAGACGACTTTGATGATTTACTGGTAGCCATATATTGGCTACATATATAATTAAACATATATGTATGACAGGCCTATATATATAATTTAAGTCTCTCTCTCTATATATATATATATTTATAGGCCTATATAAATAAATAAATATATATATATATATATATATATATATATATATATATATATATATATATATATATATATATATATATATACAGGGGCGTAGAAAGAGGGGTGCGGCCCGCACCGGTTGACACCATTTAGGGGGGTGACACCAAGGCAAAAAAATAGCAAAATATATAGTGAAATACTTGAGGGGGAGGGGTGCAAATCGCAAGTTTGAGGGGGGGGGGGGGGGGTGCAAATCGAAAACTTGAGGGGGGGGGGGGTGCAAATAAAAAACTTGAAAGTTTGTCCGCGGGAAGGGTCGCTACGCCTCTAGCGGGTGACACCATTAAGTGCCGCACCGGGTGACACCCGACCTCGCTTCGCCACTGTATATATATATATATATATATATATATATATATATATATATATATATATATATATATATATATATATATATATATATATATATATATATAATTTGTAATATATATGCAGCTAAACTAATAACTTTCCTTTAAAAATTAACAGTGCATTGGTTTGATTAGCACTTTCAAACAATGGTCTAACATTGCATCTTTTAAAATATTACTTATGTAACTTTGTTCTTTCTCGTATACGAAGTAAACCTATAGGGGAAGTATTTAAATCATGCAAAATAGCAACAAGTCAAGATTTTCAGATCTCGACATTTTACACCTCTTTGAGTCGGAAAAACATAGTTTTTCAATTTTGTCTGTGTGTGAGTGTGTTTGTATGTGTGTCTGTAAACCCGATAACTTGAGTACCGTTACACCTAGGTTGATGAAATTTCATATATATGTATTATATTAAATGTATAATTCTGTATCAAATTTTCAGTGATTTCCGATAACCGGTAGTGGAACTTATTCTACTTTCAATTTTTCAAAAGCCTATAACTTAAGTTCTGTTTCAGATAGATAAATGAAATTTTAAGGATAATTTTCAATATTAGTTTACAATATTTTCTCTCTAGGTTACTCTGTATACAAGAAAGTAAAAAGTTTAAGTAATTAAAAATGGTTTTAAAGTACTGTCTATATCCCGAGTTGCCATCCCCCGTAGTGTTATATAAGAATATTCCAGAAAGTTTAGGGGAGGTCACTCCCGTTTTATTTCAAATCACTTTAACATTTTCTGTTAAATTATTCTAGCTTTATCTTTGATTAATAACAGAAACAAATGCACAAAAATTAATTGTGCACTGCAAGTGTTATCAGTGGTTAGACCACATATGTACTTTCTAAACAATTAATTCTTAAAATGTGTATCTTTTAATGTCTATGATGATCCATTTGTTGAAATGTTGTTTTCTTTGTTTAGCCCAGTTAATCTCTGCTTAGAGATTGTATTAATATTATTGTTCTAATCAAACCTTCCAAAGACTATACATTTTCTTTTGAAGATATCATATGCATCTGAAAATTGGTTTTTCAACTAGTATTTTTTATTTAAACAGTTTAAAAGAAAATGTTTTACTGTAAGTTAAAATATAATAATAGAATATGATAGTAATATAATCATTTTATAATCATAAAACAGCTCTTATAATCTTTAGACTTTCTTGTTTATTAGAGACCTTACTACACATAGTCTGCTTAGAAGCCTCTCATTGTTCATACTGGTATTGTGATAGACCTATCACAGTCAGGCTTCCCTGCATTTACTACATCACTATTTTACAAAGATTATATTTAAAGCAATATTTTTCTGGGCTACTGATATCACTATACAGTATACAGCATGGTCTAGCAGTAGAGAGCGAGACTGCAAACCGGAAAGTCTCGAGTTCAAATCCAGGTTGAAGCCAGTAGAAGTAGCAAGTACTTGAGTCCACCCATCTCTGATAGGTAACGTAAAGGCGGCTGACCACACTATCCCTTCATATGCCGAGGTCACAGAAACAGGTGAACTCTACTTCACTTGTCCTGTGGACCATCAGGTTAAAAAAGAGAACTTTTTTTAAATCACTGGCGCAAAGCTTGGCCTTTAACATACAGTGTAAATGCTGTTTCTTCATTTTCAATTAGTTTACTTTCACTTCAGGCTAATTAAGAACCCACATTTCTAATATTAAACTATTTTATAATGGGGATGGCATGGTTGGGCTTAGGATTGCCAATTTGAAAAGTAGGACTCATAGGAAGATGACGTTCATTAGCTAGGGACAGTAACCCATTTAGGAGAAACAAACTCCAAAATTAAACATTTTCTCCCTTGTATATTGTTCTGGAGAGGACAAAGGCTATTGAAGCAAACCCATAAAGAAAAGCAGGCTAAAGTCAGAGTCAAAGGGCTACATAGCGAATAATTGTGTTGGAGAAAATTGACCATTGAAATAATACAATTAAAAACAAAGAAGAAAAGAAGAATTTATAACACTTTGTATAGTAAAATATTTTTTTTATTCAAAAAAATATAATACTGAGTGTAATAATAAATTTTTAACAAAACCAAATAAATAGTTATTACATACAACTTTCTATATATTTTATACTTATACAGTATTAAAAATGTATTCTTCATTGCTAATTTACTGATTATTAGTTTGCTAAACTTAGTAAAAATTATTTATTTTTAATGTATAATTATGTTTTCAATTTAACAACAAACTGATTTTATGAAATTCAAATTGTTTTTATTTACTTACAATGATTACATACTATTTTAACCATGGATACTGAAGAAAATAAACCTTGTTATCTTTTTAATCTTTTTTTGAACTAGATATTTAACGCTGTCTACATTTTTCTATTGTTTATTTGTTTGAGTAATCCAAAGTTCAATTTTCATTAGTCTACAAAAATATTTTAACAGTTGAGATTCATTAAAAAATTTAAAACTTAAGTTTACTTGTATTCAATAAAAAGAATTTAAAATAAACATACATAAACAAGAATATGCAAAACGCATAGTGGGCCATTTAGACACCTCATGGTATCACAATATTTAAAGGTGTTTGAAGAGTACTAAATATATAAAAAAAAGCTTTTTGTATTGTGGCCCCTTTTTCACTATGTCAGCAGCTACATGAAGAACTAGTCAACAAATACAAACTCTCGTGGACTTCCATAAAATAAGGCAGGACTTAGTCTATTATCTGACATGATATACGTTTAGCACAGGTACTTTGCATTTAATAACAGATTTTTGTAAAAATGATCTTAACCAAAATAGAAGTATATCAAACAAACATTTTAAAATGAAGAAAACCTTGAATTTTATACTCATGAATTAGTTAAAAGTGTAATCTCATTAAGTTTGTTAATTCTATTAATTATTATGAAACACAAAAATTTAATATTCAGAGTTGAAATGTTAGATTAACATTCTGGTTTTTGAAGTCAGTATATTAAAGCAATTACAACATCAAGGTAAATTGTAAAGTTATTAACTATTCTATTTCTATTAAATCTTCTATTTTAAAACGTTGAGACATCTTTTTCACTTACATTGAAAGTAGGGTTTGGATCTCTTTCAAATGTTGGTCTTTTCAAAGCAAACTAAATAAAAAATAACCAATTAAATTTTAAAACTGCAGTCAGAACTTTAAAATAAATTATAAAATTGATAGACTGAAAATACAACTATGTATATCCTAAAAACTTTTAATGTCTACAATATTTACCCCAGTATTTCGCTCCAACAAAGGCATTAATTTTTTCCAAGAAAAGTTGGATACAATTCCTTTATTGCCTGGATCTAGAAATGAGTTAAACAAAATATTCCACATCAAGAAATTACATACTACTTTACTCTACAAATTCTAATATATTTATCTCTCATATAATTAAATCCATTATGAATAAAGTATTTTTTTTTTAAATAAAATATTTTTCTTACTTACAATTTTCATAGTGAGGAATAGTTAGGTCAGCATTTAAAGTAGGAGAAAGTTCTGAACTGTTTGATCGTACAATCAATGTTTTATATCTGTTGTATTCTATATTGCCATAGCTTGCATGCATCTCAGAATTATTCAAGTGATAATAACCTGTTCTTTCTTTAGTTGCAATTTGCTTAGCAAATAACTCACTAGGGGATGTTCTAAAATAATAAATAAAACATTAAGTATAAAAAAACAATTTTATGAAACTCAAAATGTTGCTTCCCTGAACAGAAGAATATGCTTCAATATTATGTACAAAGTATTGGACTAAAGTTCAGTTGAATTAGTTGGATTAAACGTTGCATTTTAAAATAAATTTAAAGATATTGTATACTGATTTTTAAAGTGATTATATTAGATGATTTTATTATTAAAATAAAAAAAATAAAAAAATTAAATGTGACTTACTGATTAGTTGAGTCTCTTGCTGTAAATCTTTTTTTTAAACAACACACGTACACACAAACAGCAACAAATATTAATAAAAATATCACAATTCCAATTGTTAGGCCAAGAATTAGATTTCTTTTGTCTTCAGCTGTTGAAAAACAAAATTTGAATCTTTATTTTATGCTTATACCCAGAAGATCATAGTTCCAACATTTTAAAAATAAACTATACAATACAATTACATTTTTAACCATCTGGCTTACTTCTTGAACCTGGTTTACACATTGATATATCTTGTGTGTTCTCACTACAATTTTCATTTGCTTTACATGTTTGAAGTTTCAAAACCAGATCACATACACTCAGAACTGAAAGTATATATGAACAATTCAAAAAAATCTACATATACATGTATTGGCTAATTTTTTTTCAGCATAATAAATGTAATACAAAGTATTCATATCATATATATCTATATCTCTACATATATCTATCTATCTATCTATCTATCTATCTATCTATCTATCTATCTATCTATCTATATATATATATATATCAGAGGCGTAGCGACCCTTCCCGGCGGACAAACTTTCAATTTGGCGCCCCCTCAAACTTTTGATTTGCACCCCTCCCCCACTCAAACTATTTATAATGAAAAAAATGCAGCTAAAATGATACTTTAATTTGTTTTTACAACCCATTTTGGCGCCCCCTAAGGTTGGCGCCCAGGGATATATGTACCCCCTGCCCCCCTCCTCCCCCCATCGCTACGCCTCTGATATATATATATATAGCCACACATACATATATATGATAAGTATGGGACAGCGTGTCCTAGCGGTAGGGCACTAGACTGCCAACCCAAAAGTCTCGAGTAGAATGTCTCTGGTTCACTAAGCTCTGATGGGTACCTAACTCATGACAGGGAATGTGAGGACTGAAACAGGTAAACTTTATTTGCCCCATTAGCTATAAGGTTCAATAAGGGAACTTTACTTACATGATGAGTAGTTTGGTATATTAGTGATTGCATACTTTAAATTATATTAACTTACTTGGCTGGTCATTAACTGAGATATTCAAAATTTCTGCCACTATTGATCCTACAGTGAAATTGGGACTCTTCTGCAAAGTTTCTGCATATAGTGATGCTGCAAATGCGGGGGTGCCTGAGTGTGATAGGTCTATCACAATAGCGGTATGAACAATGACAGACCCATTTCTATGTGATAAACAAAACATCTTGTCTCAACATTTAAAAAAATAAATGCTAAATAACATTTTGTATAAAAGTATTCATAATTTTTCAATGTTGATCTAAAACTATATGTATATTCTAGAAGACAGCGTAAATTACTGAAAAAAATTACTGAAATTTAAAGGAATAAAAGGATTTACATCTTTACCAATAATTCTCTTAACTTCTTTTGTATAAATTAAATTTGACTTATAGTGATGACCATGAGTTAATGTTATATAATATTACAGCTAAAGCCTGAAGTGCAGCCAAATGCTCGGCCCGTGTACGCATCAGTTTGGTTTTTTGGCCAATGTACATCCACAGCATGATGACATTTCAATTATTACAGCTGGGAAAAATAATGTAGTGCAGCCCATTTTTGAGGATCCTGTGGTAACGATGCATATGCAATTTGTGGAATTACTATTACTTATTTTAAATAGCATGTACATGGTTGCCACAGGATTCACTAAAATGGGCTGGATTATATTATTTTTCAAACACCACATAGAATTCATTTACATTGCTAATGTCATGCAACTTGAGTCTTTGCATTTATAGAATCGCTCACTTCTTATTCAATGTAATTCAGGAACTTTCAGCTTATCAGACACTGGCAAAGCACACTGTTCACTTTATAAACTGGCTGATAAGTTTGCAAAGTGGCTGCATTGGGCTACAACCATAATATATATAGCCAATATAAAGTCAATATTATATCATGTTGTGGGCATTTCCTTAATTTTATGTATATTCCACAATAATGGGATGAAACATAATAAATTTTTAAATAATTATTATCCTACAATAAAAAAACTGGTTACTTACGTAAATTTTGTAACCACGAATGGCATAATTTCTTTTCCAACTTTATTTCCACCTAATCTGTTTAACTAGAGTATTGAAATATGGTATGTTAATTTAGGTTTAAGCATTGATAAAACTAATTCCACAAAAATTTCTATGCAATTTTCTTAGTGGTGGAATTTTTCCAGATTAAATAATTGCTATACTTGAAACTTTAGTACGTTAAATATTTTTTGTCAGTAGAGTTCCCATTATAAAAAAAGTATGTGTACACAATTTGTTTTCTTATTTTACATTACATTCCTTTTATTTGAGTGCTCTTAAGTTACAATGATGTGAATGTTTAAAAATTTCAAGATACATTATAATATTATATACTTACACTATCCTCAACATTTCTTTTAAATGAGAAAAATTCTTTAGTATTGTTAACAAAAATGTTAGGGGCTGTAACAATGTTTAATTCGAAACGTAACGAAAAACTTTTGAAGTTGACTGAAATGAATGAAGCAAAAGGAAAAAGATCAAACAGTATTATTTTATTTTATAAGCCTACTAATATTATTTTAATTTTTGCCTCAATAACAAGAAAGTTTTATTATGACTAACCTTTACAAGGCTCATTGCTGCTGACATAAAGATATCCTTGTTTACATACACAATCATAAGAGCCGTCTCTGTTGTTACACTGTTTTGTCTCACCACAAGAGTAGTTGGGATCTAAACACTCATTTATATCTGTAAGATTTATTTTAAGCAATGATAGAATAGAAAAAAATAATAACATACTAAAACTGCATTTAGGAAATTAGCAAATTGTAAAATATTCATTCTTGTTAAATCAAGTTACAGGAATAAGAAGCAACAGCAGAAATTCTTTTTTTAAAAGTACCCTTAAATTAAATTGTATTTAAAAAAGTATTTACCTGTGCAGTTAGATACATTAATTCTCTCATATCCTCGACGACATCTACACTCTACTGATCCATTCAAATTAAAACAACTCTCATGTATATCTGGGCAGTAGCTGGTGTTCAAACACTCATCTATATCTGTTTCACAGCTAGAGCCAGTCCAACCTGGTTTACATGTGCAGGTTCCATTGACAGCATTGCAGTTATTGCTGTTGTCTTTTACACATGTACAAATCTTCTTACAGTCCTGGCCATAGTGGTTCTCATCACATGCTGGTTGGTAAGATAAATTATTAAATGTATAATCTGTTAAGCATTTCTAGATTTTTAAAATTTTAAACATACAAAACAACTTAAAAAATGTGAAAATTGTAAAGCATCCATTCTTGTTAATTATTAAAATTTTGTTAACTCAAATTATAGAAATAAGAAACAACAGCAGATTTTTTTTTTAAATAGAATTTAAATTAAATTGTATTAAAAATATTTACCTTTACAGTTAGATCCATCAATTCTCTGATACCCTGGATGACATCTACACTCTACAGACCCATTCAAATTAAAACAACTCTCATGTATATCTGGGCAGTAGCTGGTGTTCAAACACTCATCTAGATCTGTTTCACAGCTAGAGCCAGTCCAACCTGGTTTACATGTGCAGGTTCCATTGACAGCATTGCAGTTATTGCTGTTGTCTTTTACACATGTACAAATCTTCTTACAGTCCTGGCCATAGTGGTTCTCATCACATGCTGGTTGGTAAGATACATTATTAAATGGATAATCTTTATATTTAGAAATATCAATAATAATAAAAACAGTTTTTGAGTAAAATTTTCTGTAAAAGTAACTTTCAAAAATGGTACAGTATTTAGCAAATATTTCTAAAAGCCAGTGCAGGTTGTCTGATTAGGGGAGAGTGGGGATCTCAGAAAAAGCAGCACAATATAAAAAAAAATGTTTTATATATATATATATATATATATATATATATATATATATATATATATATATATATATATATATATATATATATATATATATATACACACACTAGTAGTTCATCAGGGCTTGATTCAGTGTAAAAGAAATTGCACTTAAACAAACAGAAATAAACCAAACACAAACAATACAACCAATAACAAAACAATAATCACACAAAATAAAATCTTTCCCAAAACAACACAAAATAAGCATACAACACAATAAAAAGCAAAGCAAAAACATAATACACCTATTTTGTATTATTGAGAAAAAAACTTGCATTGATATAACGTACGATAAAAAGGATTTAAGATGATCAAACAACAGACAGAGAAATTATGACTCTGTATACATATTTGATTTGCGATTTAATAATAATAATTTGATATAATGTTCTGATTTAACAAGGTCAATAATTTCTTTACTATGAAATAATTTATTACAAATAGTTTTACAACTTCCTGCTAGAATTGACAAATGAGAGATAAGCAAACATAACAACACTCTCCATGTCTAGATTGATCTTAAATCTCAAAGAAAGTAGAAAGTATTGAGAAAATAAATAACTGATAATTCAAACAAAAGCCAAACTTATGAATGAAGATCTGTGGCTCACTTCCATTATTCATTAGATATACAGATATTAAAGTAAACTGACATTGTGATAATAAAGCACCTTGCTCATGTCTGATGCTGAGCTAGGTGCTGAGATGTACACAATAAGGATAGGCAACTGGTGATGAGTCTTAACATGACAGTTTTAAATCAGTAGTTTGTGTTGTTTTTTGCTTTTGTTTATTTTTTGGAACAGAACTTGTTTTAAACTTTACTTTAATTAAGTAATCATGAAAAAAGCTGCAACTGGTATAAGGGGGAGAGACAACTCCACCAACCATGCTACGAATGAACTTCAAATGTTTGTTAACTTAATAAGAGGTATCTTTTATGAACATGCATTGCATTCAAGCAGTTTATATTAATACTTACATTTACAAACCCCAGACGAGCTAAAGAATCCTATGTTACAAACACATTTATATGAACCAAGTGAGTTGACACAGTCTGAATTATTTGGGCATACATTCTTAGCCTGGTTGCATTCATTTATATCAGTGCTGCAATCAGCACCAGTCCAACCAGTTAAACAATCGCAGGTTCCATTCTCAGCAGAGCAGATTTGAGGTGTGGTGTTTGTTGTGTTACAGGAGCAGTTTTCAGCACACTCATAGCCATAATATCCATGTTGACAAGCTTTTGTAGGTAATAAATAAAAACACAAATAAAAGTATATAAATATATACGAGAAAAATGGCCCGTTGAGGAAGGATACAACGGGCGCTAGGCTGATAGTGCTGTCTCTTTTCTCTAAACTAAACCCCCCCCCCCCCACCCCCCAAAAAACATGTCTACCGTCCCATTCAACGAAATATTATTATATACTTTTTCCAGTGTCCGCCCCCTCCCCGAAAATTCTACCCCCGCCCCCGAAAATTTCAAGTACCCCCACCCCTCTCCGGGGAGGAAAAAGTCTGAAAGAAACACTGGTGTCGCGCTTAGCCACTACCCGAAGAATTGCATTAAAGAAATTGCAAGAAAACCACTTTTTAGATTAGACACATTAATTAGGCGGTAATTTTATTATAGAGTATCGATGAAGAAATTTCTTTTGAGTTGGGGAGGGGGGGCTCAGATGTTCTTAAGCGGGGATGGGGCTTCGCCCCTACCCGAAGAATTGTGTGCAAGAAACTCTTCACAGCAAACCATTTAGATTAGACAAAATTGCCTTTTTATTCAATGTTTACTCGAGAATCAATGACGTCATATTACTGTGTGCACTCTCCGGCTTGAGATTATTTTCTACTCTATGCTAAATGTGACCGCGTCATACTTCGTTTTTCGAATTACTATGCATGTTTTTAATTTCCTTGTGTTTTCTCTAGAGCGTTCTTGTCAGATACATAGATAGATAGATATACAGATAGATAGATAGATACACAGACAGCGAAACTATTATTATAGATATATATATATATATATATATATATATATATATATATATATATATATATATACCTAAATTCAAATACACACACAAGTGCTGGAATGTGCCAGTATAAATGCATACAACACACATACTGTTTGTATATATTTATTTAAATAAGTGGTTCCTAACCTGGGTTCTATTGAGTCCAATGCATTTTGTAAGTTAGTTAGCTTCAGGGGTTTGGTGGAGGTTATTACACAAATCAAACTCATTTTTCTTCTTTTCATTCTTAATTTTATTCTTGGGAGGGATTCCCTCCAACACAATTAAGTATATGTACAACTGGTTATTCATAATTTAGGCTGTTGACTCAGATTTCTGCCTGCTTTTCTTTTTTTTTTTTTGGATTTGCTTTCATAGCTTTTGCCCAACCAAGAACAAACTACAAGGCAGCAGTTGTTAGATTTTGGAATTTTCCCCCCTAGATGAGTTGCTGTCCCCAGCTATCGAGCCTCATCTGCCTGGGAAACTCATATTTACAATAGGATTTTGTCACTATGTGTGGACGATAGAAATAATAAGAGTTCAGTGAATGTGCATAATAAACTGGTATAGTTTGGTACCGCCAAAAAGGTTAAGAGCCACTGATATAAATTCTATTTACCTAAACAAGTTTTTTTATCATTCATCAACTTTGTTCCATTGCTACACACACATGAGAAGGTGCCTTCAAGGTTATTGCAGATACCATTAACACAAGTATTATTTTCACACTCATTTATGTCTGTGAATAAAGAAATCAAAACACTAGCCTATAAAAATGCAATTTGAAATTTTAGCAATAAAATAAACAGAAATCTCATTTGTGGCTATAAGCTTCTTAAATGTGTAAAACTTGTAAAATACCCACCATCACAACTGCCATTTTTTAAGATGTTGTATCCCATCTTACAGGAGCAGATTTGTGTGTTGTTTAATAGAACACAATGCTGGTTACATCTGTTCTTTGTAGGACACGCTTGGCTAACATCACTTACTGCAAGTTAAGGCACTATAAACATTAAATTTGTCTGTAATGACTTGTGACTTTTATTTTACAACAGCTCTATACCAGTGAAAACGTTGAGGTTATTGTTTGTCAGTTCTTTCTTAAATAAAAGAACATTTCCACTAAAAATGGGTTAGTCTTGAGCATCATCTAGGCATTCAACATTTAAATAACCTGCTCACTTCTTGTACTTACAAAAACAAGTGTTCCTTGAAGTCACATTCAGCTCATAACCCTCATCACATTCACAAGCAAACCCTCCTTCAGTATTGCGACATTTTTGGTCACAATTATTTAAATCTTTTACAGAACATTCATCAATATCTGCAAGTAATACATATACATATAACAAATAAAAAAAGAAACATGTTATATTATTTAAGGAACACATATTTATTATAAAATGTAATACTTTTCTTATTTATCAAATAGTTAAACATTATGTTTTATGACATATTTATTTATTAAAGTACATAATGATTATTACCATAGCATTTTGTTCCATTGTAAAAAAAACCTTGAGAATAACAAGAGCACTTGAAGCTGCCTTGTGTGTCTGTACAGATCTGGTCACATGGGGAACTCAAACATTCATTCACATCTGTGGAGTATTTTAATGACATTATAAATAACCACCCGACCCATGGCGTATCATACGCCGCTATTTAGTTGTTTTATTTTCTACTTTTCAGTAATTCATAATTTGTGAATTCGACAGTACCACTACTGTCACTGAAAATATTTGCTTTAAAACACTATCAGTAAGTCGTTAAGGACGATAACCCCCCTCTTTTCCCCCAACCCCTACCCCCCCCCCCCCCCCCCCCACCCGTGAAAGCAGCCTCCACTTAGCTATCTTCCCTAAGTTTAAAATCGTTTCGAACTAAATTATCTGCCCCTAATAGCCGTCACTAAACACGGCTCTGCGGATTGTTAACATTTAACAAACTACAGCTCACCAGACTTCCTAGAGAGGAAGAGAGGGTACTACAAGGCACGCTTACAGCTTGTTTTCTAACGTCTCCCAGAAGAGAATTATATATATAGATAATATAAGATAGTTTTAACAGTAACACTTAAGAAAAACAGTATATTAATCTGAAAATTATTTGATAAATTTAAAGAGATATAAACTAGTAACTTTTGATAATACTACAGTCCTATGCAAATATATGCATATGACAAATCTGAAAGATAAAATGGCCAGAAAAATTGTCAAATGATGACAGCAGATATAGGGATTTCAAAGCCCTCAAATAGGGATAGAGCAGGCACGCCTTGAGTATAGATGATGTCAACATCACAATGCAAGTGTTGGACTAAAGCAGGGGTCTCCAAACTTTTCAGCCCGAGGGCCGCATTAACTATCAAATATCAGTTCAGGGGCCAGTTTCCTTCAGGCATCTCTTTGGGGTGGCAGAGCCCCCCCCCCCCCCCCCAAAAGAACGTCAAACCCCCGCCCCCTAAACAATATATAATTTATATAGAAATATTTACAAATTTCAAGTACACCCCCCTCCCCCCGAGGAAAAAAAATTCTGAAAGAATCTTTTTCGGGGCCCGACAACACACTCGAGGTCCAAGTTTGGTCTCAAATTGTTCTTCACGTATTTCGTTCTTGAAAATGTATGTTCACACAGGTATGGTGTTCCAAAATTTGAAAGGTACTTTGTTTTGAATTTTCTGGGCAAAGTTCCTCAGCCACAAACATTTTTTTCCATGGAAAAAAAGATCTCCGCTGGCCGGACAAGAGGACTTCGGGGGCCGCATCCGACCCGCGGGCCGTAGTTTGGAGACCCCTGGACTAAAGCACCAGTTTACAAGGGCTTAACTAAAAAGGGCTACCCAAAACAAAATCTAGTGGATAGGTGTAGCTACAGCCCTCAGTACATTTGTAAGTATATTTAACAGATTGCTATTATTCTTATTTAACATAATACTTAATCATGCTTTGAATACAATGATGAAAACTACCAAGTCAAGTAAACTACACATGGCAAGCAGCTACAATAAAAGCCAAAAAACTATTTTCTGTTTTGTAAGATCATCATAATAAAAGTATCATACTGCTTAAATGTATAACTTCATTTATTCATGAGTGTTTCAACATAAATTCAAACCGAAATATCATACCTGTACAAGTATTGTTTACTAAAGAATATCCCTGGTTACACTGACAATAAAAAGAGCCAAATGTGTTGACACAACTTGTTTCAGGACATGGTGGTACAAGACTTGAGCATTCATCAATATCATCCCGGCACCAAGTTCCTGCCCAGCCAGCTTTACACTGACATCCTTGTGTGGGGTCACATCTTGATGTACCTCTTGTGCTGCAATTACATTCTGTGGCACAGTTCTCTCCCCAGTGATAGGCATCACACACTGTGACAAAGTTAATCCCTAATGATTTAGTACAGCATACAAAAAGAAAAATAATATTGAATATGTATCTCTCTTTTTTATTATATTAGGTTTTGTTTAAGTTAGAATTAAAGTGCAAAATCAACATAATACGCATATGTACCAGAACAGTTTTGCTTATTGTTTTGAAGCTTGTATCCTTTAGGGCATGAACAATTATATGATCCATTTGTATTTTCACATGTTTCTTGGCATATGTTTTGTGTTGCACATTCATCAATATCTAGACGATAAATAAATGACATTTTTAATTTGCATATATAAATATTATATATATATATATACAGATTTTAAAAGTTGCTAGTTTGAATGCAGATATTAATATACATAATGTTACACCTTTTCAAGTTATTTAACAAATAACTTTTTGCATTGCTTAATTTAAAAGAAATATTTTATTTAGTAAAGATCACTTTTTGATGGGACAAGTGAAGCAGATTTCACCAGTTTCATTTGAATCATATTTATTATTCACACCCAAAATTATAACTTCCACAGATATTTTAGATAATAAATCCCATAAAATAATGAATACTGATATTTTAAATTTTAACAAAATATACCAAATGATAAATTATAAGTGTACACGAAATACTTGACTATTGAGAATATTAGTAAACATTAGTTCAATTCTAAACAATGTTTATATGTACCTAGACAACCAGATAGGTTTGAACTTAGCATGAAGTTAATGAAGCCAATAGGACAAAAACATTGTGGTGAGTCATTTTTTAGTGTACATCCTTTTTCACAGTTTAGGGCAGAGCTTTTGCATGGGTCCACAACTTTATGAATTAAAAGTAAAATTTGACTAGTTTTAATTTCACATTTTAAAATCTGACAAACATTCAATTTTATAACATTAGAAATGACTATTTTACTGTATTTAAAATAAATGTTTAAGCAAAACTTGTAAAATACATGTGCCACTTACACTTCATTTAGTAAATGAGGTTTAAACTAAACCATATATATACATATATACAGTTTCACTAAAGTATTATCTTTACCTGAATTTTACACAACTTAAACTGATAGTTACTCATACCATCTTTTTCACATGTCTTCCTGTCATCTTTTAACCTGTAACCTGGATGACAGTCACAGTTGCTACTTCCTGGGACATTGATACATTTCTGTTCACAGCCAGATTTGTTATTTGCACATTCATCAATGTCTTTTGAAAAAAATGGTAGAAAATTTCTAATTAATGTTTACATAAATATTAATTTTGTTAGCTGCTGTACAATTATTTCTAAGAATAGCATCACTGTATTATATTAAAGTGGGTTGTGTTTGTTATTATTGTTAGTCACTATCTAGTTTAATACAAATATTTGAGTGGGGTTAGGCTGTGTGCCCTATCTAAATATTAGTTTAAAATATTTTAGAACACTTGTGTACTGATAAGTCTGCTCCCTGGTTGTCAATTATTTTTCCTGAATGTGAAATGAGTGTACAAAAGATATGTGAGGGAGAGAGAGAGAGAGTTAGTGTTAAATACATTTTATGGCTTTGCAGGTGAATTGGATGGTTGTAGATCATGTATCAGCATTAACCTAATGCTGTCTTTTCACTGTATATCTGAGCTTATAACTGGGTATTCAGGCTGAGAAGTGTAGATTTGTAGATGGTGGGTAGAGAATTGTTATAAATTAATTTTTAATTAAACTGTTAATGTATAATGGATAGAAAATATAAGGAAAATTAAGGAAAAAAACTGTGTGAGATAAGTTTTATTTTAATCTAGTTAGTTTAGTTGTGGTGCAGTTGCATATTAATCTAATTTTTAAAATTTTAAAGAATGCGTTTACCTAGACAAGTGCCATTAGGCCACTTTAAAAATCCCTCATAGCATTCACAAATAAATGACCCTGTTGTATCTGTGCAGTTTTGGGGGCAACTGTTTCTTATTTCACACTCATTAATGTCTTGAAAAATTAACAAGTTTTAGTAATAAAGGCAAATAATGTGTGCATTGGAATGAGCTTAATTATCATTATAATAACTGACATAGAATTCTCAGCATGATTTACAATAATTAAAATATATATATATATATATATATATATATATATATATATATATATATATATATATATATTTCATTATCTTTTCATTATCTGTCATAGTCTATTTTTAAAAAAAAATAATTAAAATCATGTTTGCTTTAAAAAAAATCCATGTAAAGTTGGTTTAACAACTTTTAAAATAAAAGGAAATTTCTTTTTTAAAAAGCTTTCAAACATTTTGAAATTAAAAAAAAAACACAAATACATTTACTATTAAAAACATCTTACTGGAACATGTTCCATTGTCATTTTTATAACCCACAGGACAATCACAAGTATAAGAGCCTTGTGTATTTGTACATTTATGATCAACAGGACAGACATCAGGTTTAATAGCACATTCATCCACATCTGTTTCACATGATGCTCCTGTCCAATTGCTTTGACAAATACAGCCTTTAACATTATCACATCTTACAGCCCGTCCTTTACACTGGCATGTATTGCCACAATTTTCACCATATGTATTGTCTTGGCATACTGAAAACAGATTTTGAAAGTATGCAATATAAATGACAAACATACAAATCTATATAAAAAAAACTGTAGTTCTGTCATAAAATAATATGTTCATCAATTTATAAAAATTGTATGTAATTAAAACCCAAAAAGTGAAATCACCAAATATGAATTTTTATTCATTTAGCTTAAATCTGATTTATTATCTATTATATGTATATATATATATATATATATATATATATATATATATATATATATATATATATATATATATATATATATATATATATATATTTGCATGGTTATAGAATAATCAGCAATACAATTCAACCAACTATATTATAAACTTAGCAGAGTAAGGAGAAACAAAACAACCAACAGCTAGCACATTGTGATGTCCATAGTGTTAAAGTGTCAACATACCTTCACAAGTACGAATGTCATTTTCATTTAGTTTATATCCTGTGTAGCATGAACACTCAAATCCTCCAATTGTGTTACTACAAATTTGTGAACAGATTTTCTCTTCACATTCATCTATATCTTATGTAAAAAAAAAATTAATTGGAATTAGATTTGGAAATACAAATTATAAGAAATGTTTAGAAAATGTGTGTAGTTTTATTTTTTTTAAATAAAATATGCGTTACTGCAGGGGTTCCCAACCCTGTGCCCGCGGGCGATTCGTATGTGCCCGCCTCTCACTATCCGACAGAGACAGAATTTTTTTCATAAACATTATTGAAAGGTTGAAGGGGATGGAAATCGAAAGTTTGAGGGGGGATGGGGAGTGCAAATCGAAAATTTGAGGGGGGGGGGGGGTGCAGATCTAAAGTTTGAGGGGGGGGGGGTGCAAATCGAAAGTTTTGTCCCCGGGTGACGGGAAGGGTCGCTACGCCTCTGGAAGGAGTTTGTTGATTTAAAATAGGTGGTGCCCACCACCCTACCGATATTTTAGATTGTGTTCTAGAGTAAAAAAAAAGGTTGGGAACCCCTGCGTTACTGTGTTCTGCCCAACTTAGTTACCTTCACAAGAATTGCCATTTGCTTTTAATTTGTATCCTTTTTCACAAAAACATTCTGCTCCATTACTGTTATTGCGACACTTGTATTCACATGTCTTGTTTATTAATCCACATGGATCTATAATAAGTTATTTTAATTTAAAACATAATTAAACAGTAATAAAATAGTTCTAAATTTATAGTAAAATGTCTATATCAAATAAGCAAATAAAAATGCATTTAATTATTTTGAATACAATATTTACTACTTAAATTTGGTGAGTATTTGATTATAACAAAATACCTTCTGCAGTTAATTCACATTTTCCACTTGCTCTAGAAAAACCAGTGTAGCAGCTGCAAACATAACTTCCAAAACTATTATTGCACAGTTGATCACAAGTATCTAATTTCTCCAAGCATTCATTTATATCTGAGTATATATATATATATATATATATATATATATATATATATATATATATATATATATATATATATATATATATATATATATATTTATATGTATATATATATATAGGAAATTTATTACTGTTAATTAATAACAATATATGTTAAAACCAGTTAATGAAACAGATATGTAGCATGAAAAGGAGAAATATTATATACCTGAACAATGTAAAGTTCCAGATTTTCTGAATCCTATTGGACAATTGCAAATAAAACTCCCATAAGTGTTCTCACAGACAGCATTTCCACCACATGGAAAAGCATTACTACATTCATTGATATCTGAAAAAATATTAGTTGTTTTATGGAATGTTAAATTTTAAATATTTTTATTGTTTAAAATGTTCAGTTTAATGTAAGCATATTTTTAAAAAAATATTTGTAAATGTCTTTTGAAGTGTGTAAAATTTGTAAACCAACCTTCACACTTTGTTTTATTTTCATTTAATTTAAATCCCTTAGGACAATTTTCACATCTGTACGATAACCCTTTGACTGTTTCATCTAAAGCTGGTATATCTACACAGCCTGTTATGTTTGGGCAAGGATTGGTAGCACAACCATCTTTGTCTTTTTCACAGTCTGCACCTTAACATCATTGACAAATTATCAAACTAGTTAATTTTTTTCTGTAAGTATCATTACAGCCCCTTTATTGCTACAAAAATTATCAAATATGGTTATGTGTAGGCTTACATCTAAACTACTAAGATATTATTGCAATGTTATTCTGTTTAATTTAAAAGATGGATTTTAAATTACATGTGTCTATAATAATAAAAAACCATGTCTCAAGTGTTTCTGTGCTTGATAATGTCCAAACTTCATAAATGCAGTCATTATAAATTTGATAGATTCTCTATATTTTGAAAGAAACAACATAGGTCCAAAACCAAGTATAGCATTATAAGAATCTGTTTTACAAACGTTTATCTATTTTTTATTCCATTTTACATTGCTAATGATTCTTGTGAAAAGTAAGAATTAAATTTTAAAAATAAAAGGACAAATTTAATTCATTCCATAACCTTGCTTGCACTTTAATTTGCTTGTATCTCAAATCAATTTTCCACATTGAACTTAATTAAAATGCACCCTCACCATCAACAATTTGCACATCTTTTCATGTAGAGAGGCCAAGAGCTTAGAAATCATTGTAACACTCTTAGCTGGCTTTTTACACTTTATCAACTTCTTCTGCTTAAATAGTGCTAATCATTGAAATATTATGTCATTTGTGTCTCTTCAAGTATTTACATTACTGGTACACCTTGCTTATGTTTATCTATTTTCTGTGATTTCACACTTCTATTCATTTTACATCATCTTTTTAGTAGTTCTTAGCACTAACCTTTCCAAATACTTTTTACTGCCTATACAATATATATTTAGCCTTAGAGCCTACATTTAACACTTAGCCCAATATATTTTTTTACAATTACATACATTTAAACATATTACATGAGAGTGTTTATTCACAGTTAACTATGAAGATAATTCTCTATGTAGTTTGCTATGTTTAGCTGACAAATCATATAGATTTTAAAATGTATAGACCTGCACATGCATGCATATTTCTTTTTTCATCTTGAATATGCTGTTAAACTTTTTAATGTTGAGGTAACTGTTTCGGTGGTCGAAGTTGTCGCACATCAGGCATTGTGTTTTTGTGGTGCGGGTTCTATACCTTTTAGTTCAGAGTTTTTTTATTTTTATTTTTTTCTGTTTTACTTTGTAAATAAAGACTGTTTGTTGAACTTTTTAAATTTTCAGTGTTCGGGTTGGGCATTAGGGTCAAAGTTTAGGATAAGTGTTAGGCTTTAGGGTTAGGGTAAGTTTAGGGTTAGCTTTAGTGATTAAGGTTAGGGTTATAAGTTATGGTAAGGATTAGACAATAGGGTTAAGAATTAGGATTATGGATTAGGTTGGATCTAAGGATACTAGACCTACATAACAATTCATTTTACATTAAAAACAAGTTACACCAAAAAAAAAATGCCTGCCACTGATTTGTCAGTGTACAATGATTCATAGTGGACTATGAACAACCTATTACATTATCATATATATTTAAATATATAAATATACATATATGAGTACTTTAAGAAACAAAATTAGCTTTTTTATTTATCCTGTATAATAATTTAAGTAATTATACATCTATTAATTATATATTGTTGGACGGAGTGGTCTAGCGGTAGAGAGCTGGACTGCTAACCCGTAAGTCTCGAGTTCGAATCCAGGTTCAAGTCAGTAGACCGTCCCTGAGACCACCCAACTCTGATGGGTACCTAACTCACGTTAGGGAAAGTAAAGGCGGCTGGGCATAGTGCTGACCACACTATCTCTTCATATGCCGAGGTCACAGAAACAAGTGAACTCTACTTCACTTGCCCCATAGACCATCAGGTCTGAAAGGGAAACTTTATTTACTTTACTTTAATTACATATTAACATTTTGTTAGGCTGGCTAGTATGGTACATCACAATTAGAAGACCTATTTTCATTACATAATGAATAAAACTATGACTAACACACTTTTTGAAGAAAGTACCTGTATAGCCAATGGAACAGTTACAGGCTTCAAAATAATAATATGGATTTGAAGTTGATCTCAGTGTTTTTTCATCACAAGTTCCATGCTGACTGCATCCAGTACAAACAGAAATATTAATGGCAATACTTTCTGAATGTAGTCCTTTATTATCAACTGATGAAAATCTACAAAGAAAATAATGTTCAAGAGATATAAATACAGAAAACTACTTATACATGGGCCTACTTAGAAGTTATACATAACAATACAAGTAATACTTACAAATAATTATTTTTTTCAGAATTTACTGATACTGTAATAGTTGAAGTTGATGTTTGTGATGCTTCTCGTTTATGAATATTTTTAACAGAGTAATTACTACTCAATGAAACAACATTAACATATGGACCATCAGGATCAAATGTTGTCAGAGTCAAGGTGAAAGTTGTATTAAGAGAAGCTCTAACTTTAGTTGTGTTCACAGTTAACACTGGTGCTTGATTAGCTGAAGGTAATAATAAAAATATATGAAGGTCAAAATTTCATTATCACTGATCGAATTTTTTAATGTAAATTTAAAACTTGTATCAAAACATCTAATATTTTACTACATTTCTTATATCAACCAATGAGTAAATGGTGTAGTTTACATTGTATTCATCAATTTATGAATTATTTTTATACAAAAAAGGGACTTATTTTGTAACTGATGGTGAGGACTGTACTGTTGGAAAAATAAATGGGCAAAATGGGCAAATCTCTTTATATTTAATGACTAATCTAAGGCGATCCTCTTCATATTTAACTTAAACGACTAATCTAGAATTTGTCATTTTACATTAAGCTGAAATAAATTATATTTACCTGTACTGACTGATATTCTATCAAAATCATCAGATGATTTTAATGATGTTTTAGCAATTTTTTCATTCTGTGTAGCAATAAAGTCAAAAATACATGGAAGATTTCCTGACCCATTACAAAACTCTTCAGCTTCTGCAATTGTTGTAGCATTTTGTTCATCAAAAAATAAAGGTGTGAAGCTTGAGTTTGAAAATGTAGTTGTATTCTGCCCATGGCCATACTGGAACAGACTTTCATTTGGTGTTATGGCCCCTACATGACGATTTAAGTGAGAATTTTATTATCAAAATACTACTATTTTATCTATTCTAACATTAATGGATTCCATATATCTTTCAATTATACAATAATTAAGAATGTGTGTAAAATATAAACTACCATTAATGTATATTTTGTAATGTAAACACTGATTAAAATGAAATGATGAGAAATTTGCTCTTTAAAACCACAAAACCCCTTTTAAACTCACATGTTTTGCCATATTCAAAAAGCTGTTTCTCAGTTGAATTATTTGATAGCTGTGTCCCATTTGGGAAAATAAAATCATCAGTTTTGTCCCCATTAAAGTTTCCTAAAAGACCAGTGGTCATGTTTTGATATTTTTTGTCCAGGGTTAGTGAGAATTCTAGTAACTCATTAACCAGAGTCACAGTAATGCCAATGCCTGCAATGCATTATATTAATTGCCTTTAATTTTAATATTTTGAAGAATATAAGATATTACATTCAAAAAATGCATTTTCACATAAATAAGTGAATAACATTATCATAATTAAACATATATAGGAAGAATGTCACAATTTCAATTCGACATGTAGTCAATATTGGAAAATAGATAATGGCCTTAAAGTGTGAAATAGAAAAATTATAAAGCATTTATGAAAATTCAGAAGCCACATACTGGTAGTAAACTATCAACCATAAATAATTGGCCTAAAAGAAATTGTTTTATTTAAGTGTTGTAATACTACAAACACCATTCACAAAGATTTGTAATGCTAAACAGCATGGTAAACTCATGTCAGCTGATTTGAAAAGAAAGTAAACAATTCGTATACATCTGTTTTGACCACAATAAGAAGAACAAAACATAATATGATATGTGATAATTTGCAACGTAAGTGTTTCCCATGACCACTGTGGAAAAACTAATAAGAAGATATAAACATTTTATCAAAGAGCATTACTACTTACTATCTGGTAGAGAAGCTGAGAGAGACCCATTTTGCCTTCTCAAAAAAATTCCATTGTCTTTTATTAAAAACTCAGGTTCTTTTGTATAATCAGGTTCTTTTGTATAATCTCGATTGTTAGCATAAATAACCATAACTGTAAATAATAAAAATAATTCAAATATGTATTAAGGAGATTTTATTACAATATATATATATATATATATATATATATATATATATATATATATATATATATATATATATATATATATATATATATATATATATATATATATATAAAATACTCTAGTAGATGTATAATTTAAAAGTAAAGAGTTAATCATTACACTATTTTTCATTTATATATATTTTATTTGTTATGTTATATTGAAGTAGATCTATATTTTAAAGGCAAAAGTAAATCATTAAACTATTTTTCATCATATAATGATTTGAAGGAAAAGGTTTTGCCTAACTAGTGTACCTGTTTCCGCCGGGATAGAAGAAATTCTGACGAAATATATAAGAAGTGTTTCATCAATGCGTTACAAATCCTATATTCTTAGACGTGTGACCTTGTTTTCTAAAACTGATTTATTTAAATGTAAGCAATGCCTCCACTATTACCATAAATATTAAGACAAGGGTTTACCTACACCCATGTGTCAGGGATGTAGAGGGGCGCTTTCGGGAGCCCATTAATTACAATACCGCAGAAGCGCAGCGTATGGCCCCTGGCTACTTAAAACTAACATAGGCGCAATAGTGCTCACAGGATAACCCAGTGCGCCACATAGCATCCTAAAACAATGATGCAGATTGTATCATTCTCTAAAGTTACAAAAATCAACAGGATTTATTTTTTTAAGACATAGAAAATAAAAATTATTTGTGCTTATAAACATCAGTGTGACTGATGCAATTTGCTAGCGTTACTAATGGTGTATTATTTGAAGCTTGATCTCAAATTCTGATTGGATTGTCTAAAAATAGATGCTAATTGCATCATTTGCAAAGTGACAAAATTGTTTGGATTTTTTTACTGACTAAAGGAAACAACCCAGTTAATAATCTAACCTTGGTTAAATTTTTCTGATTATTAAAAAATGTATCACAGAGCCCTCAGGGGTCAATGTGAGCATTTTGGGGCCAAAATTGACATTTTTGTTCTCAGCCAAATTGCACCCTAAAAGGGCGCTGGTGGACATGCCTGATCCAATTTAGTGAGTGACTATAATGCCCCATCTTATCCATTGTCTATCACACTGTTTAAAATCAACAGTCACCATAGCACTCACAGGGCGCCAAATTGCATCCTGTCGAGGGCCTGCCCTTGCAAGGTTATACCCCCCCCCCCCCCCTAATCGGGAGTATTCATCAACTTTCTAAAGTTTTATGGCACTCAGATAAATGGTGTCGAACCGCAATCGACTTTTTTTTTTAATATACCTTATATAGAGAAAAATCACACCATCCCTTGGCACCGCCCTTGCGAAATTACAAAAGATGTTTTTTTTTACAGAAACCTCCCCTGGAGTGTCCTAATCAACTCCTCAAAGTTTGATGGCGATCAGATGAACGTTGTCAAACGCAATCGACTTTTATTTTTATAAAATTATATACAGTACAAAGATCTAGAGAAAAAAATAAATCAAGCGCTGCCGGGGCGCCACCCCTGCGAATTTGCATTTTTTTCCGCAAAAACCTCCGCAGGAATATTCTCAACAACTTCCCAAAGTTTGATGGCGATCAGATGAACCGTGTCAAACCGCAACTGACTTTATACCATACAGAGATCTAGAGAAAAAAATAAATCAAGCGCTGCCGGGGCGCCACCCCTGCGAATTTGCATGTTTTTCTGCAAAAACCTCCGCAGGAATATTCTCAACAACTTCCCAAAGTTTGATGGCGATCGGATGAACTGTGTCAAACCGCAATTGACTTTATACCATACAGAGAAAATTTGCACCCTCCCCAGGCGCCGCCATTGCAAAATTAAGAAAGATTTTTTTTTCATAGAAACCTCACCTAGATTGTTCTAATCAACTCCCCAAAGTTTGATGGCGATCGGATGAACGGTGTCAAACCGCATTTACTTTTATTTTTATATACCATATATAAAGAAATATTTCACCATCCTGGGGCGCCACCCTTGCAAAATTAAAAAGGATTTTTTTACAGAACCCTTTCCTGGAGTGTTCTAATGAACTCACCACAGTTTGATGGCGATCAGATGAATGGTGTGAAACCGCAATCGTTTTTTATTTTTATATACCGTGTATAGAGAAAAAAACAAATGGCGCGAAATTGAAAAAAATTTCCGCAGAAACCTCCCCAGGAATATTCTCAAAAACTTCCCAAAGTTTCATGCCGATGTGAAGAGAGGTGAAGTAATGCATAAAAGACAGACAAACGAACAGACACACACACATACACATTGCTTTTTATATAGATGGATAGAGGCATTACAAAAGAGGTGGGAGAGGGGTGCGGACCGCACTAGATGACACCATTTAGTACAAGGCAAAACAATGTCAAAATTTGCTGAATGAAAATGCAATATGCCTGTTTAATCAATGATTAATTTAAGTTAAATACTCTGTAAGTACAAATTGACGATCTTGACATGGGGGGGGGGGGTGATATCATGGCATAAAATTCCTAACAATAGAAAAGACAATGCTACATCAAACTCAACTGTATTGATAAACTGACTACAGATACACATTGTAACTGTAAAAAGAGCACAGATTGAAGCTATCACCAGTTTGGGGGGGGGGGGGGGGGAGGGGTGTGCACAATTTACACAGGGTAACAATAATTTTTAAACCTTGGATTAATAGGTGGATTATCAATACTAAATTCCTTATTAACAGCCTCCAAATGTGAAAATGTGTGTGTAGGGAGGGGTGAAAATAGTAAAACCATAATTTAAACTTTGAGCAAGTTGGCTTCAGTAATTTCCCCTTACATTGACACTCTTGCATTAGTTTTTTGTAAAGGTTTAAAATGCATGATATTTGTGATATGATTAATGGGGTATTTTTCTATTAATATTCAAACTCCAGGCAATTTCTCTGGAATTGCTAGAATTCACAGAATTTGAGGGAAAACTGTTTTAAATGATACATTTCTGATCATAAAAATTTAAAAAGCAAAGGAGTGTGGGACAAGAGGGTGTTTTGATTAGCAAAGATTTTCTAAAACATTAAAAAATAATGATGTCAGGGTGGGTTAACAGTAAATTTTGGTGTGATATAAATTTACAATATGCCTATAGCTTAAGTAATTATATATATATATATATATGTAAACATGCAAAGCTATACCTTTTCTAGAATTGCTGATCTCAACTCTTAATGAATTGTCAATTCCAGTTCTTATAGACAAAGCACACCAAATAGTAGCTAGTGTTTCGTTTCCCTGGCTGTTTCTAGCTTGACAGGTACGACCCTAAGTAATTAAGATTATAAGTTGCAAACAAACTAAAATCTTTTCTTTCACTAAATCCCTATATTTAAAAACATATTTGCCTTTTCCAAATTAATGAATAAATAAGAACATTTAAAATTTTTACAATTTATAGTCAAGTTACAACAGCACAATCTAGCAACCACTAAAGTAATAGGTTAGAGCTGGTCAGACAATTACAATGTTATTTAATAACAATTATCAGGGAAACCAGGTATTTTATCAATGTGTATTTAAGAAAAACAATTAATCACAAAAAAGTTCAATGATATAAAAAGGAAAGTTATACACAGCTACAATGATGTTTTACATTTACTCATATACCTGCAATGTAAAATTTACACTGTTTTGGTTAGTTTGCACAATTTTCACTAATGTATATTCTCCAATTCCATTAAAAATAAATGATCGTTGATCCAAGGTGACAATGTGAGGGTCTCCAAAAAAAAATCCTAAGAATATGAAAATAAAATACAGTATAATCAACTATAAAACTGCTTAAATAACTCCTTTAAATAGTCTACTTGAAATACATTCTAATATATAAAAACGATCTTAAATATTATTAAACTGAAAATATGTTTTGAAATCAACCAACATGGCAAAAACAACACAAGTACTAAAAAATGTACATAGTTTTAGTAATTGTTCTGATACATTTGTTAGTTACACAAACTCAGTACTTTTGCATTTTGTTACAGTCATAAAATTTTATGAGCAATATTAAACTTGCCTTGCGTAAGCCTACTACTTACTTAAGTCAATAACAATAAATATAAGAAAACATATGAAAGAACTGAGATTTTATTTATTAATGGTACATTACCCCTGACCCAGTTACTTCCAGTGCAAGACCTAACAGGTCGTAAAGTATAATACAGATCACACAAGTTGGACTGTGTACAACACCAATCTTTAGGGTCTTCGTCATACTGAATATGTTCTTTGTAAATGTTGTCATTGAGAGAATTATATCTCTGGAGACTTCCAGCTTGTGGGAATGTATTTAAAAAACCTGAGCCTTCATTAGCACTGTAGCAACATCTCTAAACAGAAAACAACAGAACACCAAAAATTATATTTAAAAGTAAAATGTTTAGTATCACCTATAATGATAAGTACAAAGTACATTAAAATGTAAAATAAATTGGTAAGAAGTTTGAAAAAGTTTATTTTTTAAAATGCCTGGTTGTACCTAGTATTTAGAGTACTATTCCCATCTGACATTATTTTTTATCCTGTCGTAATGCATTAAGTAGCTTATTCTATACAAAATAATACCAATCAAATTTCTTTTTATAACTATCTCTTAAAATCAACTGAAGAACATGGTCTACTTCTAGCTTATTCAACTTGAAAATTTCAAAAATTAAAATAAAGATCACATGAGATTTTTTTATATTTTGATATAATCATAATGGGTAACTCCAAAATTATGGGTACAAATATATTTTATCATCTTTTTCAGTTCATGCTCTCGACAAATGGGGAAGTTTTGTTACAGCTCATCTGTTTCAACCACCTCGGCATACAGAGGGATAGTGGGGTCAGCTGTGTGAGCCATATAAGTTTCCCTAATGTGTGTCAGGTACCCATCAGAGCTTGGTGGATTCACTGATGTCCCACATATGCCTACTATGACCTCAATACTTTTGGGTCAGCAGTCTAAAATCTAACCATGGCATCCTTTAAAAATGTATTTACCCTTCCTAAATCTCCATAAAAAGGCAAGAGATCAAAACAGTTTCCTCTTTGCTGTGCTTCAAAGCTTTGAATCCATATTGGGCTGTTTCTTGTAGCAACTTCATTGCAAGGGCATGCAGGCAATAAATTTTGGTTCCAGTTTGTTATATCTAATAGAATAAATTTAAAAAAAAAAAAATATCTATGCTATGACAATACTGTTAAATTGCAAACTATTCTAAAGTGTTATATAAAACATAAAAAAATAATATGCCTGCCTTTTACAAATTGAATTAGTATTTTTGATGTTAAATTTATTGACCTCAAAAAAAATCATGTATGTTAAAATCAAGTATTTACTTTGTAGCTCTACTTGGTTTGCATTAAACCAGGCTCGACACTTTCTTCTGAAGTTCTCTTTCTCCCCTATTTTAAAAATCCAGTAGCCACGTGTTCCTAGAGAATTTATTTTTTGAGAATATTTGTTAATAATTTTTTCAATAAAAAACTCAATTAAACTATTTTTTATGGAAACTATTGGTTACTTACTATTATCATTACCCACAACTTTATCAAAGCTGTAGTAACTTGCTAGTGAAGTATCAAAACTAAAACTTGCCCAACCAACTTCAACTATTCTGGCTGATAATGGTTTAAATTTCATTGCACCATTAATGTATTTGTATATGGCATATGTAGTATGTCCATCTGATATTAATATGCATTGGAATGAAACACGCTGAAAAAAAGGTAAGCTATAAATAAAAAAGCTCTTAATCTACAATGTTGTAAACTATCTAAAATTGTAAGTTGCATTATATATAACATTGCTCTGTTTCTTTACACAAATTATTAGGTTATTTAAACTAATTATTTATTTACAAAATATCATTATATAGCCAACTAAATATTTTCTTCTTCTTCGCTCTTAATTTTAGTCTTGAAAGGGATTCCCTCCAACACAACTAAGAATACGTGTCAACTGGTTATACGCCAATATCAGCCTGCTTTTCTTTTAGGATTTGCTTCCATAGCATTTGTCCAACCAAGAACAAACTACAAGGCAGCAGATGTTTGATTTTGGAGTTTTCTCTCCTAGAAGAGTGGCTGTCCCCAGTTATTGAGCCTCATCTGCCCAGGGGTTTGAACTCAGAGTTTATCAGTCTAGCAACAATCAGCTTTACCGACAATGCTGACCTTTAAAAGAAAGAAATTTAAAAAACCATCCTAACATATTTACTTCTTCTAAACTTCCATTTGTGTCATGAGCTGGGACATTTTCCCATGTAACTACTATGACAGTTGTGGCAGTGTAGTTACTTTTAGAGAATTCTGAAACATCTGCATTGGCTTTGGCAAATACTTTACCAGCCAAAGGATTGATGGAATTGAGGTCATATTTCTGAAAAAAAATTAGATGAAAATGTTTTGACATTAAATTAATATATGCTCAATTGTTGAATGTAAACTATATTAAAGCAAAAAAAAAGTAGTCATGATTGATTTACCTGATAGTAAACATTACAATTATCATTGTCTACATTATCAAGATCAGTCCAGTACACTGCTAACAGCTTGAGCTGGTAATTGTTTTTGTCCAATACAGGCAACCTCTGGGGGTTAAAACTTGAATACTCTTTTTCTAGACTTATTAGCCCATTCACTGATACCTAGTGTTATGAGATATAAAATGGGTGAAGCTAGTATTAAGTAACTGTTATTATAAACATTTTAATTGTATTTTAAATTAAGCACATATAAAAATACATTACATTAAGTTTAAATTCAAACATGAGTTAATTTAACTGTACAAAAAAAAAATTATGGTTTCTTAAGAATTTGATAAATACTGTTATAAGAAATAATTGAATTATATAATACATACATACCCATATGGAACTAATATAACTTTGTTGGTATGGAATAAAATCTTCTATGTATATACTACCAGTAGCTAACTCATTATTTTTTGGCAAGGTGTTGTCATTTTGAATAGCACCATATGGGTAAACATCTTAAAAATCACACAAAAAATATTATAAATAAAACTGTCAAATTAAAGTTTTTCTTTCATGGAAAAAATGCTCAATAAATATCTTATTATATTAAGGCAATTGAATTACATGTTTTTTTAGTTTAAAAAGATACTTAAATTACCTGTTTCACAACTGACACCACTCCAGCCAGGTTTACATGTACAAAACCCTGTTTTGTCATCACATTTTTCAGTGTTGCTGGCATTACAAGTGCATGCTTTGTAACACTTTGTGCCCGCAAGTGTTGCATCACAAGCTATTCAAGACAATAGGTAAAACACAAGAATACTAATGATGAGAACAATGTAACTGACATACACCTTAATTTTGTCACAAGTATGTTACATGGATTTGTTTCAAGTCTTATAAAACCTATCAATAGGGGACAGTGGGGTAGGGAAGGAGAGTTTATGGTTGCTGACTCCAAATGTTCATATCTTGAACCCCTAGACTGTTGATGCTTGTTAGCCAGGGACAGCAACCCATCTAGGTAATTTAAATCCCCAAAATCAAAAGACTGCTGCTTTGTAAATTTTTATTTTTTATATAATTGTTTTCAAATCTACTACTTCAACATGGAATCGTGTGACCAAAGCGGTACAGTGCTAACCTGGAAGTCTCAAATTTGAATACGGGTCCAAGTGAGTAGAATGTCCGTGAGTCCACTCAACTCATGTTAGGGAAAATAAAGGCGGCTGGGCAAAGTGCTGACCACACCTTTCATTCATATGCACTTAATAATCTGCTCAAGGGATTACTAGGTCTAAAGATGTTTCTTTATTACTTACTCCTACTTCAACACTCTATTATTGTATAGTTTATAAGTTATTATGTTAACATAAATAAATAAATCAGAAGTAAATTTACTAAACCACCTGAATTACAATTCTCCCCACTCCATCCAGCCTTACAGGAACAAGAACCAGTTACATCATTACAGTCTATTGTGTTGCTCATGTTACAACTGCATTGGTTGATACAATCCACTCCATAATGTGTGTTATCACATGCTGCAGGAGATTATAAAAATCATATAACAGCTAGTGATCTTTTCTGATATGAACTGTCAAAGTTAAATTTATCTGTATTCATGTGTTTTCTCATTTTAATTGTTCTGCCATACGTGTCTACACTTAGGCTAGAAATAAGTTTCTTTATACAGGCATAATAATTCAATTTATGTAGATCTAGGTACATAGAATACAAATGGTTATAGCTAACAGGTAATCAATTACTAAATTATCCTTTGTTGAATAAGAATGTATTTTAAGTGGTGTTATTTTATTTGTGAAACCTAGTAGATGACTCTTCTACACAACAGTTAAAAATAGTGATTTCAACAACATTTTAAAATATATTATTCAACAACATATCGTGCATTTGTGTTTTACTTTACACATCCAACTGATCTAACCTTATTTACCAAACAACTATAATTATGTAGTACCTATATCACATTTAGCTCCACTCCATCCAGCTTTACATGAACAAGATCCTGTTGTATCATTACAGTCCGCTGTATTGTTTATATGGCATGAGCAACTTTGGGAACAGTTGACCCCAAAATGGATTGCATCACAAGCTGCAAGTGAGCAGTAACACATTAGAGCATCTAATATAATACTTATAATACACAGCCACTCGAAACATCAAATCAATATTTTTTGCAACTATATTCTTAGAGATAGAACAGAGAGTACATCTCAAAATATATGTTCTGTCTAATATGAAGGAATGTGTTACTCTGAATAGCAAATAGAAAAATGAAAGTTATGCCAGATCATAAACTCCTTTTTAAAATAACTATGTCTCACAGCTGTATTGATTATTTATTTTTTTCTATGGCATTTTAATAATATTTCACAAATATTAGTAATAAAATTGTGAAACATTTACAATATAATTACATAAATCACAAATGGCCCCACTCCATCCAGGTTTGCAGGAACAAAATCCTGTTGTATCATTACAGTCTTGTGTGTTGTTTATAGAACATGGACATGTCTGAGTACAGTTGATACTAAAATGTGTTGCATCACAAGCTGCAAATAGTCACAGAGAAAATTGTATAAATAAATATTTTATTTCTGACATCTAACAATGCAGCTATTAATAATGGAATGCAGTAAATTTACACTTTAGCAATGTGTGTTTGTTTTGGATAGGGAAAGCAATTTTTAAAAATATAATTGTAATAATGAGTAGATTTTTTATGTTTCAAAATGTCAACTAAAATAAGTGCAACTACCTATCCCCGCTGATCATTAATTTGTTACTTTCTGCATCTACTTACTATTGTAAAGAAGTAGGCCTATATGAAATTTTTTGGTTTAGTTTTTAAGCTAGTAGTAGTTGTAACAAAGACTAAAATTGATGATGAAAATATTAATGCTAATTAACATTCTTATTAACATCAGTTGTTTAAAAATTATTTTAAAAAACTATTTTTTAAAAGAATTAATTTTTTTTTTTAATTTGCCAAAAACATATTATACCTTCATTACATTTTGTACCACTCCATCCAGCCATACAAGAACAAGAACCAAGTACATTATCACAATCTATTGTATTGCTCATGTTACAAATACAGACATTGCTACAGTTCACTCCATAATGATCATCACTGCATGCTATAGAAAAGGTTTAACAACTATATATCAATGTGTCTTGAGCAATAATTGTTTGTTTCAATATTCAGACAATTCTGATAAATTGTGTATAACAAATTAGGCTTCTATTTAAGTTACTTATTTTATTTTTAACAAAATATTACCCAAATACCTTGACATGTTCCATTCTGTTTTTCATACCCTGTTACACATTCACACTCTGCAGATCCAATAAGATTGATGCACCTTTCATATTGACCTAAGCAGTAGCTGGTATTCAAGCATTCATTGATATCTGTATCACATTTTGTCCCAGTCCATCCTAATGCACACAGACATGACCCTGTTGTGTCATTGCAGTCTATTGTGTTGTTCATGACACAAGAACACTTGTTCCCACAGTAGAAGCCATAATAAGTCGAGTTGCAAGCTGTAATGTAAACACCTGATCAGCAGAGTAAATTACTTTTAAAAATGTTTATGTATTCAATTTTGGCCGGAGGCTGCAATGAATTATTATTGTGAAGAATCTTTAAAAATGTGGCAATAAGTTTCTATAAAAAGTAACAAGTATTTACTTGCTGAAATCATTATGAATCTCAGACTACTTAAGTAACTACTTCAAATGTTATTTATTTACAATTATACTAAAACCATCTTCTGATGTGCATTCTTATAAGGCTAATCTGACAAGTGTCTTCAATAAATAATAAATCTTTTTTTTTTAAATTCTGTAAATTTTAGTAAGTTAGAATATTACAAACTGAGTTTACCTTGGCAAACACCAGTTCTGTTATCAAATCCTAGTTCACATCGACATTCAGCTGAGCCTTGCAAGTTGTCACATTCTTCATGTACACCAAAACAGTAGCTTTTATTTAGACATTCATTTATATCTAATTCACAGTTTGTACCATTCCAGCCACCTTTACATAAACAAGCTCCAGTTGTATCATTACAATCAGCTGTGTTGTTGAAAACACAAGTACATTTGTTTTTGCAGTTTGGGCCATAAGTTGTTGCACTACAGACTGTAAATAAACATTAGGTTATAACAATAATAACATTAACAAAACAAGTGCAAATGCTATTACTTTTTACTTCTGTATTTAACACACCTAAATATCTATCCTTAAAAACAACCACTGATAAAAACATGTTTGCCTAATTTTAAGAAATAGAAGTACAATGAAATTATTAATATTTAGAAGTTACAAATTCAATCTCATCCAGTCAGTCTATGAAATTAATACCATCAAAGCTTACTAGACTTGCAACATTTTGACAAAAAACGTGGTATCTTCAGAAATTTGAATGTGATTTTTTATTAATTTTATAAACAGACCTTAAGGGCACAACAAAAGAAAGAAATATTCAAATCAGAACAACGATTTAAAAGTATTTTGTGATTTTGTAATTATATTAAGAACCTTTTTTTAAATAGTAAAACCTTTAAAATTACTAATATTTAATCATAAATTTAATTTATATAAATATAGTAAAAAAATTTAATGTTACCTTCATTGCAGGATATACCACCCCATCCAGCCATGCATGAACAAGAACCATTTACGTTGTCACAGTCTATAGTGTTGTTCATATTACAAATGCACTGGCTATTGCAGTTTAGTCCATAATATGTTTCATTACATTCTGTAAAATATTTACCATAATTTTAAAAACTCTAGGTTTACTTCAATAGTGTAAACTTCTCGACATTTTATAAAAAGAATATAAATTTCCTAGATAAGACTCATTGTTAAAATGTATACGATCTACATAAATAATTACATCAATGGGCAAAAGCATATATTTTTAAATCTATTTTTTTGTTATATTTTAGAAATGGCAAATATTTATTTAACTTGGTTAAACTTTCTCATTTGAAAATAAAACAGCATTGAAAAGGTTATTAAACCATATTGACTATTTGGTTTTTTGTAGTATTGTAAAGGTTAATGATGAAATTTTTAAAAATAGGAAAACCTTATGTAACTAAAATATGTAAATTATTGTGTAATTACAGAATTCAAGAACTACTTAAATATGACAATTTATATGTAATAAAAATATATAAATCACCATGAAACCCGAATATGTAAATCACTATGTAAATTTAAAGTACCTTGACAGGTTCTGTTAAGCTTTTCATACCCTGGTACACACCCACATTCAGCGGACCCAATAAGATTGATGCACCTTTCATGTTGACCTGAGCAGTAGCTGGTATTTAAGCATTCATTGATATCTGTATCACATTTTGTACCAGTCCATCCTGATGCACACAGACATGACCCTGTTGTGTCATTGCAGTCTATTGTGTTGTTCATGACACAAGAACACTTGTTCCCACAGTAGAAGCCATAATAAGTCGAATTGCAAGCTGTAATGTAAACACAGTTGTTTGTTTTTTAATAATTTTGTGTATAAAAGGGTGGTTTATTATGTGTGACAATTTGTAGTCATGGGAAATTTGTAAAAAAATAAATTTAAAGTGTAAAAATATTACACATTTTTGTTATAAAACATCCTGAAACATTTGGATTAATTGTTTTATCCTTCTGATTAATAAGACATACAAAGTGTTCTCCCTTAAATAACAAACGTTCCTTTGAGCTTCCCCATTCCCTCACACTGTTAAAATGTACATTTTCCCCACATGTTTATAAAGGTTCCCAGCATATTGCGGGATCGGAAAACTGTGTAAACAGAAAAGTGAGCAAATACAAACTAATTATACTAATATGCTTAAATGTTGTCATATTTCATGGAAATATGTTTTATTATGCTACATTATACATGTAGTCACCCTTTGTTAATGTTTATAAATGTTTGTTTCAAGAAAATAAAAATGTCATTGCGCACTTTTTAGTGCGCAATTTTCCTTGGTGTTATTTTCTGTTGCACATCTTTCCAGTCCTCATTTATAATTGTTGGTAGAACCAAAGCTCTTGTTTATCTAAACATCAAAATAGCCAACCATCTAGGGTTGAAAAATTTTGAAATCAATAAAGAAAAAACCCAAGATTTAACAATGAGTCAAGATAGAAGAGTCAAAACATGGAAAATGACTTTTAAAGCAGTCTCAGAATGCAAAATATATTTTTTTATATTGCTGTATTTTTTATTTATATAGACTGTACATTTTAGTGAAGTTTTTTTCATCACCCTGGAAATAGTCTGCTCGTTCCCTTACAATTGTCTACAGCTCCCGAAGACAAATTTTCAAAAAAAATTATCTAACTTAATACAAGCAGTAAAATGGAAATCAAAACACATCATACACTGTAATCATGATTTTGGTGACCATAAAAATGCGCAACCAAAAACAGCACAAAATAATGAGCACAAGGGAATATTTTTAAACTTATTATTTACGGATATCAGCAAAGAATGACCACATATGCATTGTAGCATAATAAAACATTTTTTCCATGAGATATGACAAAATGTATTAGTGTAATTAGTTTGTGTTTGCGTTTTTTTGTTTGTGCTGTTTTCGGAGGCACATTTTTTTCATTTGTGTATTTTTTTGGAAACAAATAATTTTCTTTTGTTTGGTCAAACTAAAGGGTAAATGTGTCTTATGCAAATAATAGCTATAGTTGAATAATATAATTACATTTGACACCAAATTACAAACTAAGCTTACCTTGACAAACACCAGTATTGTTTTCAAATCCTAGTTCGCATCGACATTCAGCTGAGCCCTTTAAGTTGTTACATTCTTCATGTATACCAATACAGTAGCTTTTATTAAGACATTCATTTATATCTAATTCACAGTTTGTACCATTCCAGCCACCTTTACATAAACAAGCTCCAGATGTATCATTACAATCAGCTGTGTTGTTGAAAACACAAGTACATTTGCTTCTGCAGTTTGGGCCATAGCTTGTTGCATTACATTCTTAAGATAAAAAAAGTGCAATAAAATTGAGGGTAGCATTTTTGTTAACAGAACTCTTTTTCATCGGCAAAGATAGTTTTATATAGTTAATGATGTAGTGAAATATAGCTTTACAATTGTGAATCCTTGCTATGGAAACAAAGTATGAAACATAATTACATTTAAAGGATGCTCTTAAGAAATATAAAGTAATTGATACGACTACAATATTAACAACATTACATAAAAAATGACAGCTTAATTTATGACTGCCATAAATATTTATACATATAGCCAATGTATATCAAATAAAAATATTAACCTTTACAAGTTCCATTAACTTTATAGTACCCAGATTCACAGCCACATTCAACTGACCCAGGTAAATTGTAACACTGTTCATGTAGGTCCACACAGAAACTTGTGTTCAAACACTCATTAATATCTTCATTACATAAAGTGCCATTCCAGCCACTTTTACACATGCAGTACCCTGAAGTGTTGTTACAGTCAATAACATTGCTCATGGTGCAGGAACAGATCATCTTACAGTTGAGACCATAATGTGTTGTGTCACACTCTATAAAAAGGGTAAATGTAGATACAAGTTTATCAATATTTTAAACAAGAAAGCAGAGAGCTCAATTAATCCTAAGAAATGTCATCTCAAAGTTGTAGGCTTACAAAAGTTGTTTTTAAAAAACACTTTCTTAATTAATGAAGCTGAAATTTTATTTAAAGCACAGGTACAATATTAATAATACTTGTAATTCTGATAACCAAATATTTTTTAATATAAATCTCTCAACTAGTATTAACACTTTAATAAAAACTTTAGTTTATTGTTTATACTAGACAAATGTTTTAAGTATTTGTGTTATAGCTTATATTCTCTGCCGACAAAATTGCTAAATTAAATTCATTTATATAAAACAGATTTCTAAAAGCAAAACTTTATTATAATCTAAGACAAATTCACTGCTAGAATTTACTCTGCATTAGTAAACTGCAAAATACATTTAAATACACCAAAGATAAGAAACAAAAAACAGCCATCTATGACTTATAAATAAACAAAAAAGAACTAAACCTATACAAGAGCCATCTGCATATCTGTGGTATCCAACATCACATCTACATTCAGCTGAGCCATTTAAATTAAAACAGCTATCATGTAAGTGTTTACAGTAGTTAGGATCTTCACACTCATCAATATCCAGTTCACAGTCTGTACCATTCCATCCAGATTTACATTCACATTCTCCAGTGCTTCCATTACAGTTCAGTATATGGTCTACTACACAGCTACATTCACTTGAGCAGTTAAAACCGTAATAGGTTCCATTGCATACTAAATAAGAATTGGAATGTATTTTAGTATATTTTAAAAAAATAAAACAATTATGAAAACATTATGTATTCTTTACATTACAAATCTGTTTAAAAATTAATTATTAAATTAAATTATATGATATGTATAAATACAAAAAGATTAGTTTATATTATTTACCTTGACAACGGTTATTAAAAATTGATCTCTCAAATCCGTCATCACATATACATTTATAGGATCCATTCAAATTGACACACACTTCATTTACTTGAGGGCAAGTACTGTTTGACAGACACTCATTGATATCTTCATCACAATCAGTGTTTGTCCACCCAGTTAAACATGAACACTTCCCTGTTTTGTCATCACAATCTACAGTGTTATTCATGCTACAAGTGCAAGTACTCGAGCAGTTCAAGCCATATTGGGTCTTGTTACATGCTGCAATTTTAAAAAACCCCAATAAAATGTTATCCTGAAAGGAAGCTACTTACATGATAGAGAGCCCTGAATTAAGAACAAAAATGGGAACAGTGTAGTTAGGTGAAAGAGTGTATAGTTGCTAACTCAAAAAGTCCTGAGTTTGGAAGCTTGGGCTGATGAAGCTCGTTAGCCGCTGACAGTAACCCATCTAAAAGATAAAGCTCTAAAATCAAATATCTATTGCTTTGCAGAAGGTTCGTGGGTGGACAAAGGCTATGGAAGCAAACCCAAAAAGAACAGCAGGCTGAAGTCAGAGTCAACGGACCAGATGGAAAATAAAACTGTAAATTTAAATAGTTGCAAACCCCTATCGAATTTTAATTTCTGTTATACTAACCAGTTTTGAATTTTACACCTTACAGTCCTATTAAATATAGTAAAATGGGCAGGTAGTAGTAGGGCTCCAAAAGTCTAGAGTTCAAACCCCTGTAAAGAGTTTGTTAGGACGTCCCTGAGTCCATCCAGCTCTGAGAAAGTATAGACGGTTAGGCATTGTGCTGACCACACTATCCCTTCATATGCAAATGTCTTAAGAAACAAGTGTGTAAGGTTTCAAGGTAATTACTTCCTTTTACTTAAGTTTAGCAACAAGATTTATTATTTACCCTGACAGCGATTAGTAGATATGTTTCTCACAGATCCTATATCACACTTGCATTCAGCAGAGCCAATTAGGTTGTTACAGACTTCATAAGGCCCTGGGCAATAATTGGTTGTGGCACATTCATCTATGTCCTCATCACAGCGAGTGCCTTTCCAACCGGAGTTACAAATGCAGTTTCCAGTAGCATTGTCACAGTCTTTGGTGTAGGTCATGTTGCAGATGCATTTGTTTTCACAGTTACGACCATAGTATGTTTCATTGCATGCTGTGGGGGTAAATAGTCTATTAATTTAAAATTTAAATATGTTTAAAGCTAATGAAGTCCAGATGTTATCACATGTAGATTTTAATGAAAAAATGATCCCATACATTATGACTGTTAGCCTGAATATTTCTGACTCAGATCTGCGGGATGTACCAAAGTCGACTCAGCTCTAATGAGTACCTGACTCACATTGGGGAAGCAAAGGCTGCTAGACAAAGTGCTGACCACACTTTCCCCTAGGGGATGGAGTGGTCTAGATCGTTCCTGAGTCCACCCAACTCTGATGGGTATCTAACTCAAATAAATGTGGCTGGGCATCGTGCGGACCACACTTTCTCTTCATATGCCGAGGTCACAGAAACAAGTGAACTCTACTTCACATGCCCTATAGACCGTCAGGTTTGAAAAGGGAACTTTGCACTATCCCTTTCTATGACGAGGTCTTTGATATAGATGAACTCTACTTTATCTACCCCAAGCGTCTTGGGCACGAATGAAAAAAAATTATAATGAATCCACACTTGATTTTTTTTATAATAAGTACTTGATTTTTTAATTTATCCAACTGGCTAGCACGGTTCCCAGAAAGAACCGCAACGGAAAAAAGCGCAACGGAAAAAAGCGCAAATCAAAAAGCGCAACGGAAATAAGCGCACACGGAAAAAAGCGCAAAGAGAAAAAAGCGCACACAGAAAAAAGCGCAAAGAGAAAAAAGCGCAAACGGAAAAAAGCGCAAAGAGAAAAAAGCGCACACAGAAAAAAGCGCAAACAGAAAAAAGCGCAAACGGAAAAAAGCGCAAAGAGAAAAAAGCGCACACGGAAAAAAGCGCAAAGAGAAAAAAGCGCAAACAGAAAAAAGCGCAAAGAGAAAAAAGCGCACACAGAAAAAAGCGCAAACAGAAAAAAGCGCAAACGGAAAAAAGCGCAAAGAGAAAAAAGCGCAAACGGAAAAAAGCGCAAACAGAAAAAAGCGCACACGGAAAAAAGCGCAAACGGAAAAAAGCGCAAACGGAAAAAAGCGCAAACAGAAAAAAGCGCAAACGGAAAAAAGCGCAAACAGAAAAAAGCGCACACAGAAAAAAGCGCAAACAGAAAAAAGCGCAAACGGAAAAAAGCGCAAACGGAAAAAAGCGCACACAGAAAAAAGCGCAAACGGAAAAAAGCGCAAACAGAAACAGAAAAATGCGCAACCAGAAAAAACACAACGAAAAATGTGCAAAAGAGAAATTTAGCACAAAGACCATATGGACTAGATGACACATTTATACATGACTGTTAGGGCTGCTGTGAGAGTGTCGTGTTTGATCACGTGATCTACTACCATTTAAAGCGTACCACTACCATCTGCATTCCCATCACCACGATACAGGCGATAATCACTTTACACAATGCCTATTATTTTCTTGGTCAATAATTATTCAACTACTATTCTCGTATAAACATAAAACTATCGACATTACACGAAGTATCTTTCACATTCTCCCTAGTCCGAACTACCTAGCTTGCATACTATAACAACCCGTTCCTATGGCAAAACTTCACTCTCTTTCATCCGCGTCATCAAACATGCATTCGTCATATCTCTCGTAACAACATTCATTCGCACCAAAATAACAATTTTGTATTTAATATTTTTTCACATCATGACGCACCTACCTACCTACCTACTACCCAACTACCCACCCACCTACCTACCTACCTAACTACCCACCTACCCACTTACCCACTTACCCACCTACCCACCTACCCGCCTACATACTTACCAAACTGCCCACCAAAAAAGTATCGGCGAAGTTCGTAAGTTTCGTAAACTGTACTAGACATCATTTTTTTAAATGAAAATTCATTGACATCATTGACATATGTTACATATATGTTACATTTTGCGACAACCTTAATTAGTGCGTTGGGCTTGTATGAAAACTCACTTCGAACTAACTCAATTAAATGCTATTTATTTTATCATTACGCGGTAAGCGTCACCCAACTGTTGTGATGTAAGGTGAGGACAGGTTCGACAATAAACCAACACGAAAGTACGAAAGAGACATAGATTGCCTATTAGAGAATTGACCCCTTAACTTTCCTAACCCCACCATTTATTATACCCTACCTAACCTCTAAATTTACTGCGCTAAATGTCACTTCCCTCCCAATCGTTCCTATTCTACAGAATTGTGTATACTATTTATTTACATTCTTTAATCTCAATATAACTAAAATAGACTTTTGTTTGAAGGGTAATGAAAACATGTAAACAAAAGGGACGCTACTCTAAATCTATGCGAATACTTATATGCAGTGGCGTAGGCGGGGGGGGGGGGGGTTTATGGGGGGTCATAACCCCCCCCCCCCCCCCAATAGACCCCTCGGTATATATATATATATATATATATATATATATATATATATATATATATATATATATATATATATATATATATATATATATATATATATATATATATATATATATATATATATATATATATATATGCAAATCGAAAGTTTGAGGGGGGGGAGGTACAATCGACAGTTTGAGGGGGGGGGGGGGAAGTCTGGAAGAAACACTGCATGTAGCCTATATAACAGAAGAGCTATGGTTGTTTATATCATTTTGCATTCGTCCGGTAAACATTTCAGTAAAATACCTTAAAAACCTTCCGTAACCTTTTTATAAAGAAACAAAGAGAGATGAAGTTTATAAATGTTAAAATAAATAGCATGTAATTGAGTTAGTTCGAAGTGAGTTTTCATACAAGCCCAACGCACTAATTAAGGTTGTCGCAAAATGTAACATATATGTAACATATGTCAATGATGTCAATGAATTTTCATTAAAAAAATGATGTCTAGTACAGTTTACGAAACTTACGAACTTCGCCGAAACTTTTTTGGTGGGTAGTTTGGTAAGTATGTAGGCGGGTAAGTGGGTAAGTGGGTAGGTGGGTAGTTAGGTAGGTAGGTAGGTAGGTGGGTAGTAGGTAGGTAGGTAGGTGCGTCATGATGTGAAAAAATATTAAATACAAAATTGTTATTTTGGTGCGAATGAATGTTGTTACGAGAGATATGACGAATGCATGTTTGATGACGCGGATGAAAGAGAGTGAAGTTTTGCCATAGGAACGGGTTGTTATAGTATGCAAGCTAGGTAGTTCGGACTAGGGAGAATGTGAAAGATACTTCGTGTAATGTCGATAGTTTTATGTTTATACGAGAATAGTAGTTGAATAATTATTGACCAAGAAAATAATAGGCATTGTGTAAAGTGATTATCGCCTGTATCGTGGTGATGGGAATGCAGATGGTAGTGGTACGCTTTAAATGTTAGTAGATCACGTGATCAAACACGACACTCTCACAGCAGCCCTAACAGTCATGTATAAATGTGTCATCTAGTCCATATGGTCTTTGTGCTAAATTTCTCTTTTGCACATTTTTCGTTGTGTTTTTTCTGGTTGCGCATTTTTCTGTTTCTGTTTGCGCTTTTTTCCGTTTGCGCTTTTTTCTGTGTGCGCTTTTTTCCGTTTGCGCTTTTTTCCGTTTGCGCTTTTTTCTGTTTGCGCTTTTTTCTGTGTGCGCTTTTTTCTGTTTGCGCTTTTTTCCGTTTGCGCTTTTTTCTGTTTGCGCTTTTTTCCGTTTGCGCTTTTTTCCGTTTGCGCTTTTTTCCGTGTGCGCTTTTTTCTGTTTGCGCTTTTTTCCGTTTGCGCTTTTTTCTCTTTGCGCTTTTTTCCGTTTGCGCTTTTTTCTGTTTGCGCTTTTTTCTGTGTGCGCTTTTTTCTCTTTGCGCTTTTTTCTGTTTGCGCTTTTTTCTCTTTGCGCATTTTTCCGTGTGCGCTTTTTTCTCTTTGCGCTTTTTTCCGTTTGCGCTTTTTTCTGTTTGCGCTTTTTTCTGTGTGCGCTTTTTTCTCTTTGCGCTTTTTTCCGTTTGCGCTTTTTTCTCTTTGCGCTTTTTTCTGTGTGCGCTTTTTTCTCTTTGCGCTTTTTTCCGTGTGCGCTTATTTCCGTTGCGCTTTTTGTTTTGCGCTTTTTTCCGTTGCGCTTTTTTCCGTTGCGGTTCTTTCCGGCCACCGGCTAGCACATAGGACGCTGTCTACCTCTCACTGATCTACAACCCTTGCTTGCACCAAGTGATGTTTCTATTCAAGTGTAACACTGTATGTAATTACACTGAAATGTTATTTTCAGAAACTGACTAACCTTGACAACGGTTATCAGATGCAGATCTCTGAAATCCAATTTTACAAATACATTCTGCTGATCCAATAGAGTTGACACACTCTTCATTAACACCTGAGCAATAACTTGCGTTTAAACACTCATTGATATCTGCTGAACAGTTGGCTCCCGTCCATCCAGTGCTGCAGACACAAGCTCCTGTAACATCATTACAGTCTTTTGTGTGGCTCGTGTTACAGCTGCAGGTTTTAGCACAGTTTATGCCAAAGGAAGTTGCGTTACAGCCTGAAAATAACATATCAATAATGTTACTTCAAAACAATGTTAAATGCTCTTAAGTTGCTTCTAAAATGAATTATAATAATAAGATATTTTAAGTCTAAAACTGGCAGTAAAATAAAAACAAATGCATACATTCCTGCCGTTAAAAAAAAACAAGAAAAAAATAAGTTTTATTAACAGCAAGATTTTTCTCTTTTATAAAATAGTATCCAAAAATAAATATTTTGTAAACAATTAATTTACCTTGACAAATATTATTAACTTTTTCAAACCCAATGACACATGGACATTCAGCTGAACCGTTCAAATTACGACAAGTTTCATGTGGTCCTGTACAGTAGCTCAAGTTTAAACACTCATTGATGTCCACCTCACAGTTGACACCTTCCCATCCAGATCTACATGAACAATTTCCCGACACATCATTGCAATCTGCCGTGTTGACTAGGTCGCAGCTGCATGTGTTTTCACAATTAAGGCCATAGTGGGTCTCATTACATGCTGTGTTACGTAAAGAACATAAGTTTGAAATAAAATATATAAATATATAACAATATAAAATTTAAAAAATATAAATAAGCTAATATAAGGATGAAATATTTCATTTACAGCCAAATAGCTTAGATTTAGTAAAATATGCACTTTTTCTAACCTTCACAACTGCTATTGTATATCAATCGCTCAAAGCCGATGTTACACTTGCACTCAGCAGACCCATTAGTGTTATAACAGACTTCATTATCGTCAAGACAATAGTGTGGATTCAGACACTCATTAACATCCTGATCACAGTCTACACCACCCCAGCCTTCGATACACAAACATTCTCCTGTGGTATCATTACAGTCTACAGTGTAGTTCATAAAACAGCTGCATGATTCAGCACAATCAACACCATAGCTTGTATCATTGCATGCTGATATAAAAGAGACAGTTATTTTCACTGAAAACATGGATTAATTAAAAAAGTAGAATTAAATATTTTTAGTTTGTAAAGCAATGTAAGCTTGTGTTGTGACAGTATATAGTATTTTAACATGGCAAATCTAATGCTCTAAAATAATAAACAAACAAAAAGACAGAAAAAAAAAGAAGAGTACAGTTAAACAGGATCTAAGACTACAGCTTCACATTACAACTAATTCACATGCCACAGTATAGATTTATAATAACAAAAGTATGGTATTGGACTAAGAAAAATTTACCTTCACATGTATAATTCATAGATGATCTTTCAAAGCCTATAGCACATAAGCATTCGGCCGAACCTTGTAGGTTGTGACAAACTTCATTTATACCAAGACAATAGCTAGTATTTTGACACTCATCAATGTCTTCATCGCATAAGGTACCTTTCCAACCTTCTAAGCATGAACACTCTCCAGTTTTACTATTGCAATCTGCTGTATTGTTAATGAAACAGCTACAAAGATTTGCACAGTTCCATCCATAGTAGGTTTCATTGCAAGCTGTTTACAAATACAAATAATGGTTTAAAACAAGTGCACCTTTTATTTACTTATGTTGAATAGTTTCTTCAATAAAATAGATGTTAGTGTAAACTTTTTTTCTAAAGGCTAATTAACTATTCTAAAGGTTTATGGCATTTATTTAATAAAATTTCTAACATAATTTATATAAGACCAGAATTTTGGACCTACTTTTGCATGGATAATCAAAGTTCTCTCTTTGAAAACCAATATCACAAATGCATTCAGCAGATCCATTCAAGTTAAAACAGATCTCATTAGCTTCAAGACAGTAGCTCATATTCAGACATTCATTCACATCTTCATCACAAATAGTGCCATTCCAGCCACTAACACATGTGCATTCTCCAGTGGTGTCATTGCAATCATCTGTGTTGTTTAGGTTACAGCTGCATGTGTTGGCACAGTTCAGACCATAGTGGGTAGCATTACATGCTGGGATAGAGTAGCAAAAGTATGCATAACATAGTAACACATGTAGAAACCTTTATTAAAATCATTAATATTAAGACAATCCACTATAAAATAATTTTTTATTTTTCTTCTTGTTGGAAAAGCTTTTGAGATTTCATAGATGCGCAACAGAAAAATACGCGAACGTAAAAATGCGCAACAGAAAACTGCAAAAAAATTATACTAATACACTTTATAATTTCTTTTCCAGTGTCTATAAATGCTTGATTTAAAAAAAAAAATTCCCCTTGCACTTCTTTGTGCACAATTTTCCATTATGCAGTTTTCTGTTGCGCATCTTTCAGTCACCATTCATCAACAACACACAATTACCTTGGCAACCTTCATAATCTGTAGAATTCTCAAATCCAATGTCACACATGCATTCTGCAGATCCATTTAAATTAAGGCATCTAGAATGGATGTCAGAACAAAAGTTATTGCTTTCACATTCATCAATATCAATGTCACAGTTCATGCCATTCCATCCAAAATAACAAGAGCATTCTCCTGTTGTGTCATTGCAATCCACTGTGTTATTCAATACACAAGAGCATGGGGTTGAACATTCATAGCCATAGTGAGTCTCATTGCAGGCTGTAATAAAAAAAGATTTACCCAACTGATGAAATATAATATTTAAATTATCACTATACGTTATGGGATGAATGGTTGGGCAATAAATCACAGGTCAACTAGCACAAAAGTCTAGATTTTGTAAGGTGTTCCTGTCTCTATGAATCTCCGATAAATACATCATTCACTATGGGGTAAAAATCAAGATTGCTAGACATGGAACAGACCAAACTCTCCCATAAATAGGTCAATCATGGTCACAGAAATTAACTCTGTACATCTGCACGTTGACGGTCACTCCCGAAAATGTATCTACCTATTATCATGCACAACAAAAATCTCAAAAGATCACAAAAGTTTTTTTCCTCTATTTTGAAGACTGCCTAGTATTTAACAACACCCATTTAACAACAATTAATTTTGCCTGTTTACTGCAAAACTCAATGTTGGCTACTAAGCTGGCAGTTTCTAAATTTAAAAAATTTAAAATAAAAAACCTATTACTGAACTTGAAAACAAAAATTTATTTGTCTAGTAAAATGATACTGGTAAAGTAGGCCTACTCTTCTCACTAATGGTAAAAACATTTTTCATTAAAAATTATTTAAATATTTAAAAGATGGCTTTACCTTGGCACTTCTGTTCTCCAATATTTCTTTGGAACCCAATCTCACACCTGCATTCAGCTGATCCATTCATATTAAAGCAAACTTCCATGTAACCAGGACAGTAGCTGGCATTAAGGCACTCATTGACATCTTCATCACAAGTGGTGCCATTCCAACCAGCTGCACACAAACATTCTCCTGTGGTGTCATTGCAATCAACTGTGTTGTTTAGGTTACAGCTGCAGGTGTTGGCACAGTTCAGACCATAGTGGGTAGCATTACAGGCTGGGATAAGGTAGCAAAAGTATGCATAACATAGTAACACATGTAGAAATCTGTATTAAAATCATTTATATTTAGACATTCTACAATAGAATAATTTTTTGGTTTTGTTTTAGTTGTAAAAAGTTTTGAGATTTCATAGATAGGCAAAAGAAAAATACGCAAACATAAAACTGTGCAACAGAAAACTGTGCAAAATAATTATATTAATCAACTTTAATTTCTCTGATTTAAAAAAACAAAATGCCCTCGCACTTCTTGGTGCACAGTTTTCTTTTGTGCTTCTTTCCAGTGTCCTATCACAAATTCACACAATTACCTTGGCAACCTTCATAATCTGTGGAATTCTCAAATCCAATGTCACACATGCATTCTGCAGATCCATTTAAATTAAGGCATCTAGAATGGATGTCAGAACAAAAGTTATTGCTTTCGCATTCATTAATATCAGTTTCACAGTTGATGCCCTTCCATCCAAAATAACAAGAGCATTCTCCTGTTGTGTCATTGCAATCCACTGTGTTATTCAATACACAAGAGCATGGGGTTGAACATTCATAGCCATAGTGAGTCTCATTGCAGGCTGTAATAAAAAGATTTACCCAACTGATTAAATACAATATTTAAATTATGACTATACTTTACAGGAGGCATGGTTGGGCAATAGATCACAGGCCAACTAGCACAAAAGTCTAGAGTTTGTAGGGGGTTCCTTTCTCCATCCATCCCCACATTTAGGTAAGTTATGACAGCTATAACTAGAACAGACCAAACAATCCCATTATATACCATGGTCTCAGAAATTAACCATTGAGAGTCATTTCTAAAAAGGTATGTTTCGATTACCATGCAAAACAAACATCTTAAAACAAAAAGTTGTTTCCTCAATTATGAAAACTGTCTTGTGTTTTACAATAGCCTGACATATTATTTTGCCTATGTAAATGATCTGAAAAATACAGGTTGACTACTAAGCTATGAGTAACTGAATAATAATTTTAAAAAAAACATTTTAAAGAACTATGAAAATAATACTTATTTTTCAAGTCAAAGGTTACTGGTTCAATACTATTCTCAGACATGTTAAAAAAAATAAGGTATACCAACTTCTGTAAGACAAAAACATGTTTCATTTTGTTTTTTTAAAATAATATTTACAAAGAAGGCTTTACCTTTACAATTCTCTTCTCCAATTTTTCTTTGGAACCCAATCTCACACCTGCATTCAGCTGATCCATTCATATTAAAGCAAACCTCCATGTAACCAGGACAGTAGCTGGCATTAAGGCACTCATTGACATCTTCATCACAAGTGGTGCCATTCCAACCAGCTGCACACAAACATTCTCCAGTGGTGTCATTGCAATCAACTGTGTTGTTTAGGTTACAGCTGCAGGTGTTGGCACAGTTCAGACCATAGTGAGTAGCATTACAGGCTGGAATAAAACACAGCAAACATCTCATTGAACTCATTAAAACAAGTAGAAGTTTTCAGTTCAATTATTGCAGATTCTATATGTAGCAATGCGATATATGTTTTAGTTTTTCATTTTTGTGCACAATTGTAAACTGAAACCTCCCAAGTACAACCCCCCCCTCCCCCACCCCCTCCTAGGCAGGTGAGGCCTGATAACTGGGGACAGTGATCCATCTAAGGGAGAAAACTTTAAAATCTAACAACTGCATCCTTGTTCTTGGATGCACAAAGTCTATGAAAGCAAACACAAAAAGAAAAGCAAGCAGAGTCGAGTCGGTAAAGCTCATGGCTGCTAAACCAAAAAGTCTCGAGTTTGAACCCTCAGGCAGATGAGGCTCGTTAGCTGGGGACAGCCACTCTTCTAGAAGAGACAACTCGAAAATTAAACAACTGCTGCCTTGTAGTTTGTTCTTTGTTGGACAAAGGCTATGGAAGCAAATCCAAAAAGAAAAGCAGGCTGAAATCAGAGTCATTGGCCTCAATGGCGCATAACCAGTTGACACGTAACGCTTAATTGTGTTCGAGGCGTGGTCGAGTCGGCAAAAAGCTCATGTTTGATAAATTCGAACAAAGTCTCGAGTTCAAACCCACTGGCAGATAAATCTCGATCCCCTTCAACACTAATAATTAAGAACGAAGAAGAAGAGTCAACTGCCTATATGGCATATAACATGTTGACATGTAATACTCAATTGTGTTGGAGGAAAGCCCATCCAGCAATTACAATTTAGAACAATAAAGAAGAAGAAACACAAACACACACATTTCTAAAACCTATTTACCTTGGCAACCTTCATAATCTGTGGAATTCTCAAATCCAATGTCACACATGCATTCTGCAGATCCATTTAAATTTAGGCATCTAGAATGGATGTCAGAACAAAAGTTATTGCTTTCACATTCATCAATATCAGTTTCACAGTTGATGCCCTTCCATCCAAAATAACAAGAGCATTCTCCTGTTGTGTCATTGCAATCCACTGTGTTATTCAATACACAAGAGCATGGGGTTGAACATTCAAAGCCATAGTGAGTCTCATTGCAGGCTGTAATAAAAAAGATTTACTCAACTGATGAAATATAATATTTAAATTATCACTATACGTTATGGGATGAATGGTTGGGCAATAAATCACAGGTCAACTAGCACAAAAGTCTAGATTTTGTAAGGTGTTCCTATCTCTACGAATCTCCGATACATACATCATTCACTATAGGGTAAAAATCAAGATTGCTAGACATGTAACAGACCAAACTCTCCCATAAATAGGTCAATCATGGTCACAGAAATTAACTCTCTTCATCTGCACGTTGACTGTCACTCCCAAAAATGTATCTACCTATTATCATGCACAACAAAAATCTCAAAAGATCACAAAAGTTTTTTTCCTCTATTTTGAAGACTGTCTAGTATTTAACAACATCCATTTAACAACAATTAATTTTGCCTGTTTACTGCAAAACTAAATGTTGGCTACTAAGCTGGCAGTTTCTAAATAAAATAAAAAATTTAAAAAAAAACCTATTACTGAATTTGGAAACAAAAATTTATTTGTCTAGTAAAATGATACTGGTAAAGTAGGCCTACTCTTCACACTAATGGTAAAAACAACATTTTTCAATAAAAAAGTATTTAAATATTTAAAAGATGGCTTTACCTTGGCAATTCTGTTCTCCAATATTTCTTTGAAACCCAATCTCACACCTGCATTCAGCTGATCCATTCATATTAAAGCAAACCTCCATGTAACCAGGACAGTAGCTGGCATTAAGGCACTCATTGACATCTTCATCACAAGTGGTGCCATTCCAACCAGCTGCACACAGACATTCTCCTGTGGTGTCATTGCAATCAACTGTGTTGTTTAGGTTACAGCTGCAGGTGTTGGCACAGTTCAGACCATAGTGAGTAGCATTACAGGCTGAAAAAAAAAAGAGTAGTGAAACAACTGAAAAATACAGTTTTGTTTCAACTTTGCCCCATGTAGAGTGAAGATGTTTTTTTTAGTTGGTAATTTTGGATATAAAAGGATTAGATACTATTGATTTCTAAAAATAAAAAAAAAATTACAAAAACACTGTACCTAGGCAGCTTTCATTATTTGAGAAATTCTCATATCCAATTTCACACCTGCATTCTGCAGAACCATTCAAATTAAAGCAGCTAGAATGGATGTCAGAACAAAAGGTCTCATTATCACATTCCACAATATCAGTTTCACAGTTTCTGCCTGTCCAACCATGATGACAAGAACAGTTTCCAGTCGTATCATTACAATTTTCTGTGTTTGCCATGATGCATGTACAAGAGTTTGAGCATTCATAGCCATAGTTTGTGTTGTTGCAAGCTGTTTTTTGTTTTAAAATTGAATAGTAAAATAAAATGATAAGATAAAAACCTCTTTTATAATATGATGCATAACTTTTATTTATAAACAAATTGATTTACAAATGTAGACAGGGCATTTAAATCTAAAAAATCTATATCAAGTACCTTGACATTTCTGATCTAGTTCTGATCTTTGAAAACCAATCTCACACCTGCATTCAGCTGATCCATTCATATTAAAGCAAACTTCCATGTAATCAGGACAGTAGCTAGCATTAAGGCACTCATTGACATCTTCATCACAAGTGGTGCCATTCCAACCAGCTGCACACAAGCATTCTCCTGTGGTGTCATTGCAATCAACGGTGTTATTGAATACACAAGAGCATGGTACTGCACATTCATAGCCATAGTGAGTCTCGTTGCAGGCTGTAATATAAAGAGAAACACAGATTCACAGAACATTGAATAAACTAAAAATAATAGCACCCTACATCTAAACAACAAATATCTGCAATTGCATTACAGGCTGAAAAAAATAACTTTTTAAAAATCTTAATAACAATAAAAAAAAAATTAAAATACCATTAGAATTTTTTTTTAGCACAACGCAAACTGGGGATTTGTTTGGGATAATTTAGGATTTAAAAGTAACTAAAAGCTATTTATTTCTAAATAAAAATAATGAAATTCCTAATGCAGTGAACTATACCTAGACAACTTTCATTAGTTGAAGAATTCTCAAATCCAAGGTTACATCTACATTCTGCAGACCCATTCAAATTAACGCAGGAAGAATTTGTGTCTAAACAAAAAGTATCATTTTCACATTCATCAATATCAGTTTCACAGTTGATGCCCTTCCATCCAGAATAACAAGTGCAGCTACCAGTAGTATCATTACAATATTCTGTGTTTGCCATGATGCATGTACAAGAGTTTGAGCATTCATAGCCATAGTATGTGCTGTTACAAGCTTTATGAAAATAAAGAACAAAGAAAAACTCAAAAAATTAGAGGAACTATCTCTCATAAAATAATTAATTTTAAGTACAATTATTGAACAAAAGTTGTTTAAATATCTAAACAAACATTAATTCTATATAATTCATTAAATTACCTTGACAATTCTGGTCCACTTCTGATCTCTGAGAACCAATCTCACACCTGCATTCTACTGATCCATTCATATTAAAGCAAACTTCCATGTAACCAGGACAGAAGTTAGCATTAAGGCATTCATCAACATCTTCATCACAAGTGGTGCCATTCCAACCAGCTGCACACAAACATTCTCCAGTGGTGTCATTGCAATCAACTGTGTTGTTTAGGTTACAGCTGCAGGTGTTGGCACAGTTCAGACCATAGTGGGTAGCATTACAGGCTGAAATGTAGTACAAATTTATTAGTTTAAAGATCAAAGAATGTTTTCGAGCTATATTTGTTATTTTAACATATGGAAATATTTTCATTAAAAATGTATAGATTAAAAGCTTTTTTTGTCACAATTTTGTTTTTACCTTGGCAGCTTCTATTAGCTGAAACAGTCTCAAATCCAATGTCACATCTGCATTCTGCAGATCCATTCAAATTAATGCAGATTGAATTAATGTCTGAACAAATGGTCTCATTGTCACATTCATTAATATCTGTTTCACAGTTGAGGCCCTTCCATCCTGACAGGCAAGCACATTCTCCTGTTGTGTCATTACAATTTTCTGTATTGTTTAGTATACAAGTGCAAGGGATAGCACAGTCATTTCCAAAGTGTGTCTGATTGCAAGCTGTAAAAGAGGAAAAAAATATATAACCTTACTAAATAAAAAATTATTAATGATTACTTTTGAAATGCTATATATTAAGATTAACATTTAATTTTAAAATTTACTATGAGCAATTATAAGGTTTCACTCTTTTACTTTCTCGTTTACAGACTATAGAGGAAGTACTGTAATCGTGCACAAAAATCGCATGAAATTTTGACAGTTTTAATCATGTTACTAATTTTACACCTCAGTACATCATCATATACGGAGTATAGGGACTGATTTTAATCAAGCAAAAATTATAAATGCAGATTTATAAAAATTTTGGCATTTTATGCATTATCTAGTCGGAAAAACTGGGCTTTACAATTCTGTCCATATGTCTGTGTGTGTGGATGTATGTCTCTGAACACGATCTTGAGTAAAGTTACAGCCTAATGAAATTTCATATACAAGTATTAGATCTAGATCTATATCAAAGTTGTAGTTCTGTATCAACCTAGGTCCTAGATCTAGATCTATGTCCTTTAGCACATGTTTTTAAAAAATATATAGGATCTAGATCTAGATCTAGAAAGAGCTCCTTGAAAATATTTATTTAAATTTAAGAGATAGATTTTGTCATTTTAGTGACCTTGTTCTTTTTTGTGGCCAGCACTATGCCCAGCCGCCTTAACTTTCCCTAAAGTGTAAAGGGACGTCCTACAGACTAGGCTAGACTCCGCTAGACTCTTGCCCGGGCATAGTCCTCGAACCCAGGCCCAATCTCAAGAGTACTCAAACTCAAGTATCAGCAGTATCAATCAGGTCAGCAGTACAAGTACTAGATCTAGAGAGCACAGTAAAATAAAAGGTCTTCTGATCTGTAATAACTCAGTGAATAGAAGTAGAAATATAGATCTAGATTCTAGATCTAGGTCTAGATGGCTAAGTATTAAAGTAAGAGTCCAGCATAAATAAAAATATCCAGCTCAAATAGTATTTGAAATACAAACCACAGCAGACGATTGGTTTTGAACCGGAAACAAAACATGCAAAGCTTAGAATAGCCTTACTTAATGCACATCCGCATTTTTCGTTTTTAAAATTTAAATATTGTCTTAATAAGAATTCGATCTAATAGTTTACAAAAAAGTTAGAAAGTATTATGTGTCCCGTAGTATGGTCAGAGTGCCTAGTGTCTCCTCCCCCCACCCCCGAGACTTTTAGACTGTTCGGGCGTAGCCAGTGTTCTGTTAGCAAATTGCCTTTATCCTTCTGTTTTCTGCCATCTTTAGTGTCTTACTCAGTGTTAGAAACTTACATTCTTAGATGTTTCACCACAATCATTTTAACGCTTGCCTATAGATCTAATTGGTTGAAGAGATGTTGCTGTGCCCTGCAGGAAAGTCTTTACAAGTCAGGTTTGCCTTACGGTGTCTTGTGCTATTTAAGTTTTCGTTTTTAACAATACTTATCAGAGATATTCCCTTTGCATGTGATCAGGATCTCATTTTCGTGGACTGAACATACAGCTGTTTGTTAGTGTCAAATGATTCGTATAAAAAAGAACAGTGTTTCTTTCAGACTTTTTTCTCCAGGAGGGGGAGGGGGGAATAGACGTTCTTCGGGGGAGGGGGGGCTGAGCCTCCGAAGAGAGTCCTGGGAGAAACTCAGATTAAGAAGTGTGGCCTTGTCCATGAAGTGCATGGGCTCAGCTTTGAGTGATGATTGCCGTGTTATTATTTTCTCTGTCCGCTCTGAGCCTACGGAGCTTGTAGGCCACATGTGAGAGATTTAGATGATAGACGGGAACCAGTGAGGCACTAAATTGGAATCGCAAAGGAAAGAAGAAAGTAGGTAGGCCAAAACAAACTTGCAAAAGATCAGTTGTCAGTGAAGCGGAATGTCGGCGTAATTCTAATTTAACAATATAATATAGTACACGCTCATCAAATTTTAAATGCATGACTACAATGACAGACACCCATTCAATACACTTTTAGTGTATTTAGTACAATTTAGTGCGCCAAAAAATTAGCATAGTCTAAACAGAGGCGTATCCAGGTTTTCGGTGTAGGGGGAGCGGAAATAGCAAAAAAAGGCGCCGAATTTGTAATATCTTCTATATAAGTATATAAGTATATATATATTAACTGTATGTTATTTCTTCGATATGATGTAAAATAAATTTAAATTAGCACTCTGAAGAAATTTAAAAAAAAAAACACACACAATGTAGGCGGACGAAACAAAAAAAATGTTTTCAATCTAAACAAAAAAAAAATTAAATATATATATATATATATATATATATATATATATATATATATATATATATATATATATATATATATATATATATATATATATATATATATATATATATATATATATATATATATATATATGTATATATATATATATATATATATATATATATATATATATATATATATATATGTATATATATATATATATATATATATATATATATATATATGTATATATATATATATATATATATATATATATATATATATATATATATATATATATATAAACACTACAACCAAAAACAATGAACGCGGCATAATCTGTTTCGTAATCCTTGTAAAAAAAAGTTACATAATAATTCCTGGGACATAGACTTTGTGTAAGGAATTTGTGGTTTACGCATACATTGTCTCGCAAACATCTACTTGCGGTTTATTCCTTGTACTGATATGCTGCTGACTCCATTGGGTTTTCTTTTAGATATTTCACTTCGGCGATGAAAGGGTGGGGGTGGGCATTTTAATTTTCCTGGGGTGGGCAATTATAAAAATCCCTGCTTCACCTTGTTAAATTTAAACGCGTCTTTCATGCTTGAGTGCTTTTTTATGGCCACAGCTCTCAAATGAACGTCGTGGCCATACCTGCGTGACAAGCACAAAGACCTGTTCTTCCTAAAGCATGTATCTGTGTCTGAGGGATCTGGAGCATTCGATGTTAATTACGGTATGTTTGGCTTGATCAACTCAAAACCAATCTGCCAGGCTGACGTCATTTCTAACCAATTGGCAAGTTTACAATGCTTTGAAAAAAGGAATGAAAAGCCATGTACAGTAAGTCTTTCTATCTTTTAAGATCCTGGTTCAAATTATGTTCATGCGTTCTCTACTTATAAGCTCTAACTTTGCTCGATAAGTAATATGTGCAATCAAACATTATGTTCCAAAAATTTCGTGACTACTTTTGATGAGAGGCAGGAGTTCAGAATAGTTGACGTCATTCTTATTTTAAAAAGTAGTTTTTAGCGCAATTTACCGCAGCTTTAAGTCGTATCTCCTCCTCAACGAAGCAATATCGAGGACTAGTTCCAAAAGCAAATATGTTAAGCGAGTTCCGAGGATGATTGTGGGCCAAAAAAATTCCCGGAATTCCTTCCTGGATTTCCCAGAAAAGCAAAAAAAAAACCTCGAAATATGCTGTTTTTGGCCCATATCTCGGCAACCAGACCACTTAGCGACTTGAAACATTTACCAATCGATTCCTGCCATAATTTAGAACAATATTGTCGAAGAAAGTTTTCAAAAATATCCTTTCGTTCGGTCACAAATTTTTTTTTTAAAATTACATTATACATAATACACTACAGTACTATATAGCAATATATAGATATAGATCTATGGGGAAAGGTATGTGTCAAAATAATCTATTTTTCGCTGTCTTTTAGATCTTGCTATAAGTTTATTTTTTACTTATTAATTCAAACGTTATTTTTGTTTATTTGCTGAATATATGATTTATCTCGATTTAAAATTGTTATGGATAACATAAGGAAATTGCGCTTAAGTTGTCACTAGACTTTATATTAACTTGTTTTATATTGTACTTTCAACAGAGGCGTAGCGAGGGGGGGGGGCGGGGGGGGGGGGTGCGGACCGCACCGGGCGACACCATTTAGGGGGGTGACACCAAGGCAAAAATAGCAAAATATATAGAGAAAATTTTGAGAGGGGGGGGGGGTGGGGGGGGGGGGAGAGTGCAAATCGAATGTTTGAGGGGGGTGCAAATCGAAAGTTTGAGGGGTGTGCAAATCGAAAGTTTGAGGGGGGGGGGTGGCTGCAAATCGAAAATTGAAAGTTTTTCCCCGGGAAGGGTCGCTACGCATCTGGGGGGTGACACCATTAAGTGCCGCACCGGGTGACACTCTTCCTCGCTACGCCACTGACGTCATTTTACATTTAGACAATTGTTTTCTGTTTTGTAAATTGTAATACTTTTTTAAAACATTTCGTGTTGACCCAGCTATTAATTAAAATAATAAATCTCTTACATTTTAGTTGGGCAGTGGGTTGGCATAAAAAATGTCCTGTCTGTTGTGTTTTCTGACAATATGTGACGATCAAAATCGTCAAAAGAAAAGCATTACGTCATTGTGGGTGTCCCACAAGTTGGCTTCAATTTTATTTCTCCTTTTTTTTTTACCGCTGACAGCTTCGTTCTTCTTTCACTTTTAAATGTCTACACTTCAAGGACAGACTTCGTTTACAAAATAGGATAGGTTACCTACCTACACGTTTTGGAAACTTTTGCTTTCTTTCTTTACCTTTTCAAACAGTTCTCATTTGGCTTGTCATTCGTTTTGGTATGACGCCCGCGGTTGTGTCATATTTAAAAATACACACATGAATAAACTCGAATAAAGACTTAATGACTTTTAGAGGCTTTCAGTGATCGAATTTTAAACGGCATGAATCATTCACACATTTCAATGTATACTGGCACGTGAAAAGCTGTAGGCCTTCGTACGAGTTGGCTGTATTACCTAGCAGTGACATGATTTGAGATAATGGTGGAGGGGGCGGGGGCAGAGGCATAGCGACCCTTCCCGGCGCCCGGGGACAAACTTTCAATTTGGCGCCCCCCTCAGGAGAAAATTTTCAATTTGCACCCCCCTTCTCAAACTTTCGATTTGCACCCCCCCTCAAACTTTCGATTTGCACCCCCTCCCCTCAAACTTTCGATTTGCACCCCCCTCAAAATGTTTATAAGGCAAAAATGCAGCTAAAATCACATTTCGAAATGTTTTTCCAACCCATTTTGGCGCCCCCTAAGGTCGGCGCCCAGAGCATATGTACCCCCGCCCCCCCCCCCATCGCTACGCCTCTGGGGGGGGGGCTCAAGGGCTCGCCGCCATGGAAGTCAATCGATGATATCAATTTGCGATACACTTGTACACAAAGACGAATACCCAAGTGTAATTCAAATAGAAAATAAAAATTTACGTATCATACGCCGCTATTTAGTAGTTTTATTTTCTACTTTTCTGTAATTCATAATTTGTGAATTCGACAGTACCAATGCTGCCAATGAAAATATTTGCTTTAAAACACTAACCCCCCCCCCCCCCCCCCCCCCCGTGAAAGCAGCCTCCTCTTAGTTACCTCCTCTATGTTTAAAATAGTTTCAAACTGAATTATCTGCCCCTAATAGCCGTCACCAAACAAAACATTTAGCGTGAACTACAACTCACCTGACCATGTGAGGGGGGTGGGGTGGGGGTGGTAGCGATAGAGAGGGAGAGAGGGGACTGCAAGGCGCGCTTGCAGCTTGTTTTCTAACGGCTCCCAGAAGAGAATTATATATATAGAAGATATTATCCAATGTAATTTCTATATCCACACATTGATTAATAATATACTATTACAAATACACGTTTTAAGTGTATATCATTATGAATACTTTAATTTTAAACCAAATAAATGAAACTTTTTTTAATGAGGATTAAACTTTGTTTAAATTGTGGCTGGGTGGTCCTTAAACGTTACATAATATAAAACGTAGTATTTGAAGAATACGGTGGTAAAAATTTTGAAATTTGAGTTATATAATATTTTAATATGTACGATCGTTACAGCCTAGAGCAGGGGTTCCCAACGATTCGTATGTGCCCGCCTCTCACTATTCGTCAGAGATAGAATTTTTTTCATAAACATTATTGAAAGGTTGAAGGGGTTGGAAATCGAAAGTTTGAGGGGGGGGGGGAGGGTGCAAATCGAAAATTTGAGGGGGGCTGGGGGGAGTGCAAATCGAAAATTTGAGGGGGGGGGTGCAAATCTAAAATTTGAGGGGCGATGCAAATCGAAAGTTTGAGAGGGGGGGGGGTGCAAATCGAAAGTTTTGTCCCCGGGTGACGGGAAGGGTCGCTACGCCTCTGGAAGGAGTTTGTCGATTTAAAAAAGGTGGTGCCCGCCACCCTACCGATATTTTAGAATGTGCTCTAGAGTAAAAAAAAGGTTGGGAACCCCTGGCCTAGAGAATCGTAAATCGGTTTGGCTTAAATATAAGACAGAGAAAGTCGTAGACATTGTAATTTTTTTAAATCCCAGAAACAATAAATTCACAAAAATGTAAACATATCTTCCGTTAGTCAAAAGAAAGGCTTGAGTAGGTGTCATGGTCAATCGTAATTATAAAACGAATGTAAACTTTTGACATAGTAGCATAAAGTTGCTTTTTAAATTGATTACTAGTATCATTTTCGGGCTTAATAATTACACATAACCCACAAATGAATAATCAGTATTAATATTGTTAGGAGTATAAGAAAGAAAAAACATATTTATGCACGAGAAAATTTGGTAGACTAAATAAATGAAGTAGTTTATAATATAATTATAGTTAGGTGTGCACAACCTTTAATTATACATTTAATGTGTTATGTTGGCATTAGAACAAACAATAGCACACACACACACAATTAGAATAATTTTAGCTGATCTAGCGTCTTTGTCTCTTTAAGAGTCTGATTAAGCCATTATCTTTATATTTTTGTTTGGAGTAACTATTGTAAGTTTGCTTAAAATTATATGGCTGTAAATAGAAAGTTTGCTGCAGATGTGATAAGGAAATATTGTTACATTGGAATTGGGCTATGCAACTAGACGCTGTAAGTTCCGCTTAGCCTTGAAAATTCTTCATTAAATGGTTAGCATCAAAAATGTTATTTTCTCATTGTTTTATCTATGTAAAAAAATGAAATATACTCAACCTGACTGTGCAAAAGTAATGGTCACTTCAATGAACAGCACTAACACAATACACCAGAAACTTCTGTTATCCATTATAATGAACCATCAGAGAATGAAATTGCTTTTTTTTTTTTTAATTACATTTTAATGAGGAATCGTCAGAATCATGTTTAGAAAATAATGATTATTGCAGATAAACTTCACGAATTAAATGTTACCACTGTCAGAGAATTTATGAGACGTGTTATGATCAGGAAGTGAATAGTTAAAGCCTTTAAAGGCTTATTTATCTATTATGCTTATACGGCACATTGGTATAGCGTGCCATTGTAATTGAATAACTCCAGTGAAGCGTGAAGACAGCCCTTCAACTTTTAAGAACGTTTTTACTGTTATTATATACGTGGTATTATGGAGCGTATATTTGTTAACTTGGCTGTTGTATGTTCGAATACATGAATACATTTTGCATTTTAATGCGATGGGTTCCTAATATAAAGAAGTAAAGTAAATAATTCTAAACTTTCTATATAGGGGGCAGGTCCCAAATAAAGAATTATTCTTTAAATAAATAGCTGACGTAATGATAACATCTATTAGTAAATCATGTGATGTTTATTGTACGATATATTATCAACATGTGTCCTGTATGTGCTAATGGTATAAGTATTTAGACAAAACTAAAACTAGTTAGAATATACTAAATAGAACGTGTTCGATAGACTTAATTCAAAGTAGCCTGCTCTCTATTTTCACCTTCCCTAAAAATAATTCCATATTAAATGCTTACACGGCGTTATGTACGATTTGTAGGCGCATGTCGACGGGGCAAAACTTTACATCGCCATAACTAAGAACGTATTAAAGCTCAGGTTGTATGAAGGCATGTAAGAAACAATTTTGTAAGGTTGGTTAGGTGGAGTGAAAGGTAGAAATTATTATTAAACATCATAAATGTATGATACAAAGCTAAAATTAAAAGTACCTGCTTTAAGAATCACAACTATAAATATATATATAAAACAATGATATTTCATTAAAGCTAAGGCTTATAATTTTATTTATTATATAACAGTAGAGGGGAAGGGGGAAGGGGGTGATGTTTTATTGATTTACACAGGTGATTTGTTTTGTAATGATTTGACAAAAAAAAAAAGATAATTGGTCGAAAATTCCTATATATATATTTTTTTTATTAAAACAGCGATCCATTACCTTCTTGTATTAAGTGATCGTCTTATTTGATTTTTCGTATTCATTTAAATAAATTATCATGGAACAGGTAAGGTTATTTTGAAACTAGGCTATTCATGAGAGCCAAAATTTGAATAAGAATTTAAACCAATCGAGACACAAATCAATAATCAATGCGGAATGTACGGTAGGCCACTTATTGGGGTTTTAAAAAAATCAATCCTACTTCCTGGTTGAGTAATATTACTACATATCGAGTAAATATATGTCATGTCACGCTGTCACAGGAAGCCCCTAGGGTGGAAATGAGTGGGTGGGGGGAGGTGTCCTGAATTTAAGAACACTTGAAACAGGAGAGAAGGGGAGGGGGTAAAAAAAAGTCAATTTGTATTTTCTGAATTAATTGATAAGCAACATATTCATTTTAATACACAAGGCTTCACCATTTATTAGTATGCACTGAAATTATATATTAAATGAAACGTATGTAAATAAACGACGGTAATACCCTTTTAGGATAAAGCTGTTAAAGTTCTTTGGAAGTAACACAAGATTTAATGACACAACCACTTATTGTTAGAGTAGCTGTAATGACCTTTACATTCTTTGTGCGCTTCGATTGCTTTTCTGATGAAAATATGTTTTTGTTTTTTATATGTGTGCTCCAAGTTTTACAGTAATTACAACATTGCATGTTATTATCGTTACCGTTAGAACAGGCGCAACGAGTGTACCGACGATTTCAATGTTGTATATATAATACAAAACATATTTACACCGTAGAAAAATCCAATAACCAAGTACTAGATTTGTCATGTTTATGTTATCGTAGAAATTTGAAAATACTGAAAAGATTTGCTCGTGTTACGTAAATAACTGATGAAAAACTGAATATTCCATGTATAAAAAAACTTGACAATAAGTTGTAAGTAACATATGGGAATTAAAAGTATATATCACAGCCCTTATTCGGAGGCCGGAGTGGTCGAGTTGTTAACGCTCATGGTTGCTAAACCGAAAAATCTCGAATTCGAACCCTCGGGCAGCTGAGGCTCATTAGCTGGGGACAGCCACACTTCTAGGAGAGACAACTCCAAAATCAAACAACTGCTTCTTTGTAGTTTGTTCTTGGTTGCACAAAGACTATGGAAGCAAATACGAAAAGAAAAGCAGGCTGAAATTGGAGTCAATGGCCTCAAAGGCTCATATAATTGTGTTGCAGGGGAATCTCCGATATAGTTTTAGTTTGGTAAAACAAAACGAGTTTAAAAATAAACGAGTTTAGATTTTGTTTCGTTGACAAACAGCTAAATACACAAAAAGTCAATCCTCAATTTAAAGATTTTCTAAGAATTAAATTTGTGGTTATACAGATTCTGTGACCACAGTGTCTCTCTTGATCACAGTACTCACTTTGTTTTATTATCAGATAGTTTCTAGAAACTAATTGTCTGTATGCTTGGCTACAAATAACATGTTCTTCCTTTGTTGTTTGTCTTACTTCAGTCTATGATTATAAGATTATAATAACCATTAATCACTTTTTCTACTATGTAGCAATTTAACGTCATTAGATCATTGGTTTTTTTTCTTTATAAAAAAAAAAGACTTTTTAGCTATGTTTTTGGCTGCAGTATAATATAACAATAATTATAATGTATTTGAAAGCAACTTGTTTCTGATTTTTAAATCAAAGTATTTTATTCATCTTAAACATATATTCCATTATGTCTCTAAAATATAACGTTATAATAATTGCATTATACCATTTTTCTTGTATGGTTGCTTTGCATTTATTTATAAGCAGTGAAATATTATTAATAGTAAAATCGTGCATGTAGTGGTTTACATTAAAACTTGTAGATTGATGGGCTTTTAAATACAAAATTATAACGTCATTTAGAAGTCACACTTTTAAACTTTCAACTTACCACCCTACAGTAAGTTTTTTTTAATGTTGAAGTTTATATGTACGCACTTATATGGATGTTGCTTTCTATATAGCTCACTATTGTGAAACAAGGAAAAATGTTAGCGATTTTGGCAACCACATTTTCTGACCTTTTTTGTTTTGTTTTTGCCCCGGTGTTTTGCATTATCTAGTTTAGAATATTGGAATGGGGTGGGGGGGGGGGGGGGTGGTGACACTTCTTCCAATGAATGATCGAACTACTCACAGTGGTGTCTGGGGGACACACTGATTGGTAACTTAGGCTCAGAGGCGTATCCAGGTTTTCGTTGTAGGGGGAGCGAAAAGAAAAAAAAAGGCGCCGAATTTTTAACACGTTCTATATACGTGTATTATATATATATATATATATATATATATATATATATATATATATATATATATATATATATATATATATATATATATATAGCCTATAGCTGTATGTCATTAATTCGCTATGATGTAAAATAAATTGAAAGTAGCACTCTGAAGAAATAAGAAAAAACACACAATGTTGGCCGACAAAACAAAAATTGTATCAATCTAAACAATGTATATATATATATATATATATATATATATATATATATATATATATATATATATATATATATATATATATATATATATATATATATATATATACACTACAACCAAAAACAATGAACGTAAACAAAATTTCTTACATAATAATTCCTGGGAAATTATTTAAGACAAGGGAAATAGGGGAAATAATCACTCTCTTAATATAAATATGTATATATTTACACATTTAATTGTAAATGTCAATACAAATAAATAATTACTTTAGAATATAATGAAATTGTTTAAGACTATTCGCGTTTACAAAATGTTTTTGTCTATAATCAGAATTTAATATATCGTCATCATAAATGCTATAGTATTACAGCATAATGAAAGTTTTTAAAATCAGAGTTGGTATAAAACCACGCTTTTCGATGTAGTAGAAGAACATTCGGAATAATAGCCTACATGTAACTGAACAACGGTCTTTCAATACTATTCATATATTTCAATTATCTACTGCTTCTTTGTGTTCTAAAGATAATTTTTTTAAACATAGTGATAGGTATGGGTTAGATCACTGTATTGATCACATACCTTTTGTACTGGTAATTTCAAAAACAATATTTACAGAGTTTTACGTTTAAAAAGCTAATTTTCTGGCGGCATGTTACTTTGGTACATCATTACGCGTTCTCTACAGATCAGTTCGGGGTGGGTTGGGGGGGGGGATGGGTTCAACTTCATTCACCACTGTCCGTTCACTTTAGGTCAATTATCCAACCCAGTGTATACCTAGGTGTGACATTAATGTCGCTCTACACAATTGTGGTGGTGAGGTGTGTGTGTGTGGGGCGGAGGGGGGGGGGGGCGGGAGATAACCAACTCAGAGTGAACATAGCATCAGTTTTTAGATGACTGTTCTAAACATACATATATATTACACAAATATATATTACACAAATATATATTACAGAAATAGATTTAAATAAGTAGCAGTGGTATTATGACAATATTTTTTTTTACAGAGGGGTCCATGGGGGAGGGGGGGGGGGGGGGGTAGGTTGTAACTGTTTCATATAATTTGTAATCGTAATCACCATCGCTCAAACTGTTTCTGTATTGTAATTTTTTTAAAATTAATCACACGATTCAAACTGTATATATAAAGTAATTATGTGTGAAGTTTTATGTATAACATTTTCTAATTCAATTATTCGTAAGCAAATACATTATACAGTTGCCTTAAACTTAACACCCCTCTTGCCAAGTGGTACTACCGTAGAGGTATTTTAAACATTGCAATACATCGTAATGGTTATTTTTAGAAAGGTAAACTGATGCAGCTGTTAATACGTGTTGTAAACGTAGACACTACTAGACTAGAACAATAATGCTTAATTGCTGCATGAAAAGAAATCTT